ATTGAAAAAATATTTTAATCCCGCCATTCCGCAGGTGAACTGTGAACTTGTGCAAATCCTTAAGAAAAGTGTTAAGAAACAGGTAAGTTAATTATGGCAATTTTAGTTTAAAATATTTAAGTTTCTTTATGTAGATAGTTGTATATTTATATACAGAATCTATAATGTATGGTTTTTGCCAATAATTTGGCATAGAATCAGTATAAACGTAAAATTATGTGGTGTCGATAAAAGGTACATCCATTTTTAGGCTTTGTACGATTTATCGACATAGGTGTCGATAAATGGTACTATGTAGCTTTCTCTTTTCTTATGAATATTTAAATGTCTATCAAACTTATTCTTACTCTGTCTGAAGAGTTTAAAGGAAATTATATTAAACTACCGCTGTACCAATTATCGACACCCATTTTTTCCATTGGTAACATCGTTAGAGTGGATCAAAGTCTGTGGAGTGGATGTAATTTATATGTCGATATTTGGTACCAAAAATGTCGATAACTGGTTCAACCTATTTTTTTTTCAGAAAGAATGTTTTAAAATGAACATTATTGAAAATAGTGAAAAATGGGAAAAAAACATTTACAAACATGACTTAAGAAAAGTTATTTGTAAACGATTATGTTATAGTGAATTATAACGATCAATCACTATATACCAGGTAAAATTATTGACATATTATTGTAAAGAAAATTATGAGTTTGATTACCAAGTCTTACATATGGAGAAAAATGGGCTCAATTGGATATGGGATATGGCCCATATGGGACATATGGGACAAAGGGATAATATTCTTTGGTATGATAGAGAAGAGGTCCTTAAAAAATTAAGGAACAAAAAAAACGCGGACTTTACTGCGTACTGGAGATTTGTGATTAAAATACTTTTATCGTCAAACATTTTTGTTTGCAATAAACACTGCTTATATTTTATAATAAATAAACTTTTATGATAAACTCTTTGTTACTTATTATAACCATTTAAATCGACTTTTCCGAGTGTCGATATTACGTACGCAAGGGTGTCGATATTTGGTTCAAGACAAATTTTCCCATGTCGATAACTGGGTCAAATGGTACTTTTCAACAAATTTATTTTTTGCATATAAATTACGCATTGCTATTTAAAAAATAAACATTGCAAAGCAATAATCAATATTATAACAATCCACAGTAAAATTGTTAAACGTGTAACTTTAATATGCAAATTTTTATAACGATATGATTTAGAAAAATCTCTTAAGGTGTCGATAATTGGGACGTTTACCTTAATTATTATTTAGTTTAGAATCTTGTGTATAGATAATACATGCGTTGAGTGAAGAAATTCTTTAGCAATGGTATATAAAAAAGAAAATAATCTGATGGCAACAACGATTTTTTGTGTTGTATAAAATCCTAGAGATGGCGCACATATACTTACCACGTTGTGTGGTAAGAATATGAACAATTTGCAATCCCCATATGATTAGTACCTATTTCTATTCTTATTTTTATGGCAATGATTGCATAGATGACCGAAGGCAATCCCAATCCTCTGGAATTTATTTTTTTTTATTTATAGGTATGTCTGTTTGACACTAATTTTGTCTTATTTTTTAAATAATACATAATAAATGTATCTTTTGGTTCTAAATTAAAAATACATTTGAAAAGCGTAGTGATAAAAACGTGAAAATCCACAAAATCAATTTCCTTATAAAACAGAGATTTTCAATAAAAGTTTTAAAAAATCTCGAAAATCTACAATTACAACAAGATCTGTTCTATCTAAGGTTCTATCTCGTACTAAAAATACAAAAAATCACTGCAACACTGCAGTTTAACGGCGGCCATTTTTGTTGTTTCCAATACATAATAATCGTTTTAAACCTTGTGTTGCTCATAGTAAGCCTTAAAAGAGTCCTTAAAGTGCTAAGAACAACCATTTTACTCCTCTATAATAGATAATAGATAATATATAATATAATATAATATAATAATAATTGTAAAAAATAAACTTTATTCTATCAGGGCTGTCATAAAACTGTCAAATCATTTGACTCAAATGTCAATTATAAGGTTAACAAATTAACCTTCAAATTGCCATTTGACAGCCATGATAGAATAAGGTATATTTGTTATAAAAGAGGAGTAAAATGGTTGTCCTTGGCACTTAGAGGCCTATTCCCTTTCGCTAAACATGCATGTTCATGAACTACGTATGTTTCGTAACATATGAGCCTATTCCCTTTCAATTATTTCGTCTATAGACGCATGCGCTCGAAGAATTCCTTAAACATCCATGTTATAAACATCATCGGTGTTAAAATGGCTATTCCGTTTCCAAAATTCGATGTTTGGTGAACATACATGATGTTTGAAAACGTATGTTTACGAACGCTTGCCTAAGAGGTGCTGTTAAGGTTTTTTTATCTTGCATTAATCATAAATTGCGGCGATGTTTGGTACAGTATACAGTACAGTATCATTATCAAGCATAGTAATTATAAATTAATTACTTTTTCATAATTAATACCTAATTAATTATAATTATAAATGATAAATAATTATTTATAATTGAGAATAGGACAAATCATATAAGGTTTTACACCAAACAAATAATAATATATTTTTTGGTACTTAATTTTAAAAATATGTTTGATTTGTTTTTTAATTATTAAAATGTAAGTATTTACTAATTATAATACCTACCAGAATACAAATTTTGCTTTACTGATTTTTTTAATATAATTTTATTATATTAATAAATATTTATTTAGAGAAAAACAGCAAATTAAAAAAAACTGAGTGTGAAGAGAGAATGTGGAGGAGGAAAGTCAAGACTTATATGTATGTTACAAGAGTGTCTAAAAACGACCTCTAAAACTATATATATACTTATTGGTAGAATAAAAAATAACTTGGAAAAATATATTTTATTAAAAAAATACAACAAATATAAAATATCAAATACCTATGTAATATTATTACTCAAAAATATAGACAAAATATTAGTCAAAGAAAAGTTTAACTAATAAAATACAAAAAATATGCATCTAAAAACACTTTTTCTTCACATGGGAGCTAAAACTTTTTGGTTTAATTTTAAAATCTTATAGGTTTTATCAATACCTTGTAAAACCTCTACACCTTCACTACTCGTCAGAGTTTAAGTTTGACTTTCTCTTTATGCCTCTCTGTTGTAGAAGGGGCCCTTCCACCCGACCTTAAAGGCTGGTCAATGAAGAGTTCCAACGATGGTATTACCTCCACCTTACCATCCACCACATACTTTCACAGCGCTTCCTCTATTACGGCTAGTAATTTATCCTTAAAGTAATTAAGTTGTTTTACTGGCTCCTCGACATTGCCAGTCTCCATGTGAGAAATGCGTAGTTTTCTTGCCATTTTCAATACACTAAAAGTGTGTAAAAATAAGTAACAAATAATTATTTTAAGATATTTTATGATTACCCTTTTCCATATAAGGATGGCCCCGCCAGAAGATCTGTGCTTTGGCTAGTTCAGCATAAAACGTTTTTCCCAAGTATTTTTAGAATTTGTGGATTTTCCCAAATTGTTTTTAAGTTCATTTAATATATTAAATATCACCAATGATTTTTAAAACAATTATCTAACACAATTTTAGTTTACGATCTGCGACTTTTAGGTTATAAAACTAAGAAACTCCCTGTCCTAAAAACATTTATCGCTGTTCAGAAAGATTCAAGGTCAAGACTCTCAACATATGAGAAACGGAATAACCTTAAACATAGGTGATGTTGGACTTGTCGTTGGGTGAACATACAAGTTAAGAAATCGATGTTTACGAACAGCAAGAAAGGGAATAGGCCTCTTAAAGGCCCTATTTGAGGCTTACGTGCCTCTGTAAGAAACACAACGTTTAAAACAATTACCTATTAAACATTTGACTCAAATGTCAATTATAAGGTTAACAAATTAACCTTCAAATTACCATTTGACAGCCATGATAGAATAAGGTATATTTGTTATAAAAGAGGAGTAAAATGGTTGTCCTTGGCACTTAAAGGCCCTATTTGAGGCTTACGTGCCTCTGTAAGAAACACAACGTTTAAAACAATTATTAAACAGCACAAACCCAAAGCACAAGAATTGAAAACAACAAAAATGGCCGCCGTTAAACTCTGTGAAGCGTTGCAGTGATTTTTAGTATTTTTAGCATGAAATAGAACATACCTTGTTGTGTGGATTGTGCAATTACCTTGTTGTTTTTGCTTTAAAGTAAATTTTTTAGATAAGATCTAAAATATCTCCTTCCAGCAAAAATAATTTAAAAATTAATTTTCGTTTCCCAAAACAAATTGATTTTGTCGCTCGCGCGTTTTTCCACTAAGCCTTTCATTTATTGTATTATTTTCAGAAAATAAGACGAAATTAGGCCAATTATAAGCGGTGAACTGGCAGATAGAAAACCTAAATTATTTGCATTCAAATGTCAAAGTGGGATTTTTGGGTGTGAAGCATGGTGCAAAAACGTGACGTACACTTTGAGTTGTGCGCCTAGTTTAAGCACAGTTAGAAACCACCGGTCTCAACATAAAAAACTCCGAAGGGTCACAACCAGGAATCTTTATTCTTGATTCAAGATACATACAGGAATTGACTATCCTGTTACATGTATCTTTGGTTTTAAGTTCACAAAGCATGCGTCTCGGCCATATACGTCTATGATTACAGCGTTGCCAATCCTATGGTAATTTTTGTAGCTTTTTGTAATGGAATTTTTGGTATTAACATTGAGTAAAGAAGTCTTACTCAATGGTATTAACTTTATAAAAAATAAAAAAAAAACAGAATTAATAGAATACCTTTAAACCCAATCACGACTTCTATTAAATTATGTCCATGAAAAATAATTATGAAGAAATCTGCAAGATTGGCAACGCTGGTGAGTCATCAGCTGATTGAGCTACACCTATCAGAACGGGCATGCCAATCCGAAAAATAAAAGCTGAACAGGCTGATTAGGTGTGCCGGTCCGCTGGAATCCGATGTTTTCGTACTAAACCATTATTATATCTCGACTAAACTACGCGCCGGGGATTACGAAACATCATTAATGCGAGCGACAGCGGGCGAGTCGAACGCAATAACTTTCCTAGACCGGCTGTACAGTGCTAGTGCGTGAGTTTGGTCGGTTTTGACAGCAATGTCGACAGCACTGCTGGCCGCTTTCGCTGTGATCCTCTGCATCCTGTTCAGGATACTTAACGTGAACAGCCAGCCCCAAAAACCGTCGATATGGTGCGGCGACTACAAATTCATGGACACCATCCTTAAAATCTCGCCCTTACTCAACGAACCGTAAGTTAAGTTTTCTATTGAAGCTCTATTAACCGATAAAAGCACTGGTGAAATTGGTACATTCTAGATTTTTAATCGTACAAGCATTTTTCTTATTATTCGTATTATAACCCTAACCACATTCTTTGGTAAATTATCAAAAAAAAACAAACAAATATACAAACCACAGCAAGAATTTGCGAATTCCAAGTTGGCTATTACGAAATCCAAGGTCTTTTTTTAGTTGTTTTTTAGTTGGAATAACAGTTAATCCAAGTAAAATAAAAATAAAATAAAAAACCTTGGTTTTTGTGAAGGTAGTTTTTTCCATAAACCATGGTTATTAAACTATTATATGGTTTTTGATAAATAAATATCAGTAGGCAGCGACAGCAAATTCAGGGGTGCCAATGGAGTAAAAATAAAACTTATTTTATCTACTCCTACATTGACGAGCTGTGACTTTATGGCGTTTTAGTCACGGGCTGAAGTTAGCTTTATTATAAATTAGAGAAAAGTGAGGTTATTTCCGTTGACATTTGACAAATGTCAAATGTTTAACAAATAAAATTGGATTTAAATTCTTCTTTGTGGTCGTCGTAGATAAAGTATAGTATGCAACTCGTTTTAAAAACTTATCTAGACACTCGTTTTTATTAAACACTCGCTTGCAAGCTTCGCTCGTGCTTAATAAAACTCGTAACTAAAATGGCGTTTATAAAACTTGATAATATACTATTAATAAACAAATTACTTACCTATATTAAAAATTAATTAAATTAAATTAAATTAAATTAAATTAAATTAAGTGTCACTTAAAAATAAAAACAACATAAAACGTAAATAAATATCACTATAAATTTGTTGTTAGAATGACAAAATTAAGGTTAAAACTGTCATATTTTATGTTTTTTAAGTTGGCAGCATGAAATTTAAAATGACAATTGTGTTAAAAAATTGTTTTTTGAGATTTTCATATTAAATAAACTGATAAAATTAATGATTTTCAAAATAAAATAAATAAAAAACACAGCTGTCAAATGGTTAACCTTACTTTTTACCAATTTTAAATGTTAGTCGCCTTCTTCCAGTTTAAAACCCGATTGGTTCAAATCACAGTGATGCCTAACAACGTGAATACTGAGTTTATTATTTACGTTAGGCAGGAAATTTATAATGCTTTACAATATTCACAGAAAAACACCAAAATTATGCAATAGGAGTAGATAATAGTATATTATGTATCAAGTTTGATAAACGCCATTTTATACACGAATTTAATTTAGGCACGAGCGAGCTTGCGAGCGAGTGCTTAAGTTAATGAGTGTATAGAAAAGTTTATAAACGAGGTGCACACCATACCTACTTTTTCTTCGACAAATACTTATTATTATCTTAAAATGATTTAAATCAAAAGTTTTTATAGAGCGCCATCTATGAAACAACAGGGGAAAATGTCAAATGTCACATTTTTACATTTTATAAACACAATTATAAAGGTTATAAATCGAAATGTATCTTGAAAATTGACAGTTTTTCACAGTGAAAGTAAAGAAAATGTCAACTAAATTAAAACTAACTTCAGGCCGTGACTAAAGCGCCATAAAGCCACAACTTGTCAATGTGTATTTAAAAGGTCACTTAGTGTCATGGAAACATGTACGATAAAGGGCGTTCTAAAGGTGGGAGTAGAAAAAATATCTTATAAATAGCCACCTATTCAGCATTTTCAAATAAACAATGCATTTTACCTACGCAGTCAAAATTTTAAAGGTTTCAGAAAATATTACCTTTTGTTAATTTATTTTTTAAATATGACGCACACAAAAATTCCTAGATTTATGTTTTAGATAAACTCTTATCAGAGCAATTAGCAAGTTTTTACATTTAAAAAAAGAAAAAATTTGTTTGTTTAGTTAGTAGGTATATAAATTATAATAGTTTTTATCACCATTTAGAACTACAATATAAAGTACCAAAAGCACAAACATTTCTCCTGTTTTGTTTATTATTTTTGGTCAAAACGATAAGCATACCTGATAATTTCTTTGTGTTATCTGGCATTAAAAACAATAAAACACAACAAATAGACCAAAACCGTTGAGTCAATGCCAAAACAACAAAAACAATTTCCAGAAGCTTCATAATCTTTATTGACTTGTATTTCCTATAATAATGACATCAATGATGCCTCTTTAAAAGCAGTGTACGTTTTTTTTCTTTAAAACTTTTTAGAATAGCTAAGAGCTGAGTTTTATTATTTTACAATCTAGTTATTTATCAAATATTTAATAACAAATTAATTAATTACAATTATATTACATTATATTCTTTAATTTTTAATTAAGATTCTATATTTATACTTAATTTGTAATTTAGATAGGACTATGGTATTTAGTAACAATATTGTGATTAAAAGTAATAAAAGTACTACCCACAAAATGTTTCACACTTCAATCAAGTACCTACTTATTTTCTTTGATTTGCAAAATGAAAGTGCCATTTCTAATATAGGAAGTAAGTTTTATATGCTGCTGCTGGTTATCCAATTGTAATTTTACATTGCGCAAAATGACAATAAATCGTGATTTTAATTTTAATTAATAACTTTTTACTCTTTATTAAAGAGTCTTTACTTTTTTTACTTTAATTCTAATAAATATTATATATAATCTATCCAATAAATAATATGCACTCGAATATGCATAATATATAATCTAACGATTAGATTAGTTTAGGATATGATTTATAAACTGCATGATATTAAAAATGTATAAATGCATGAAAATTTGTGTCAGGGTTTGTATAAATACGCCTGCCTATAATAAGAAGTTGTTTCTAGAGCAACCGTGTTATTCTTTTGAGACATTTTATCGTAAGTAATATCATAAGGGCATCTAATTTTTTCGAAAAAAATCGAAAAAACACGTTGCTAAGTAATATTTTAACAAGAAGCATGAGTGCTGGTGGCAACAAAAATCCGAGTCGAAGAGGAGGAATTTTTGCACCTGCACGAATGCATTTTGTTAAAAAATATTACTTAGCATTGTGTTTTTTCGATTTTTTTCACAGGAAAAATTAGATGCCCGAATGGTATTTGACAAGACTATTTCATGAGTAACAGTTAACAATTAAAATATAAATTGCAATTTTTGGTGACAACAGCTGTCAAGTTTTGCCGCGGGTAAACTCGAAAAAAACTGCTGACAGGTGCTGTCACACAGTTTTTTCACCTAGAAACCATTTGTGATTCAAAATTGCGCGTTTGTGATTGGTGGAAATTAAGACGAGGGAAATAGTCGATAAAAATCAATTAACCGAAAGGAAGCCAATACAAATATTTACAAGCTTGTTTACCAAAACCATAAAATACGCAGTTTGTGCCACTTATGTCAATCTGCTGTTTATCCCTTAAATATTTATTCTATACGGCACACACGTGTAGTCTTTATATATAATTATGTTGGTATAAGGACTTAAATTTAAATGGGAAATAAACAAAAAAAAATTTTTATTTACTAAATGTTGATATCGCAAATTTACAAAACTTTTAAAACATTTTTATATCAATACTACGTAAGCATCATAGTAAAGTCAAAGGAAAAATTGGTGCTGAAAAATTTAAAAAACAAAACATCGCAGAAAAAAAATTTACATTATATTATTATTGCAGGTTATTGAAATTGTATTTTTTTATTAATTTAAATAAAAAAACAAAACAATGTTTTTCTTCATGGCATCATATTAACACTTTTTATATTTTTTATTGATATTTTTCTTTTGAAAAACCTTTAAAATGTAATATATATGTATAAATCGGTATAAATATAATATATATATATATTATAAATTAATCCAATTAGTTTATTTTTTAATTAATTTTATTTTTATCAAATAAATATTCCAAAATGTGTTGTTTTTATTAAAATATAAAAATTGTACAGGGTGTTCCTAAATTAGTGGCTCTCAAACAAAATATTACCCAAAAAAGATTATTTTAAATATTTTTATTAACAATAATAGGTACCATATTATGGTATACTTTATAATTATTTTTTTAAACTAAATTAATTGCCAAAAACATTATTGTAAAATGTATGTTTTTCTAGAAAATTATAATATGTAAATAAATCCATTTATGTAGGTAGGTAGGTAGGTAGGTAGGTATAAAATAATTGTGTCGGAAATCTGATGCCCTGGTGTAGATTTACGTCAGATTTACTTACGGTGACTCACTCTCTCAGCTCATTATAAAATCCTAATAAAGCCAATGAGATAACACCTATTAGTTTTTGCAAACCGTGTCACCTTTATTTTTATTTAATATTTTACCATGAAACGTTTTGTATGAACATTCTACCTAGTTAATTTAACTAATTAAAATTCAAGGACATCAAATATGTAGTCAGATTTGGTTTTGGTAAAAAAACAATTATTTTAATCAATATAAATCAAGGTTCTATTTCGAAAAATTATAAACGAACTTTTGGTTTTCGAGTTTTCAAGAAATTGTAGGTAGGTATATTACAAGAATTCTATATTACAAGAACACACTTTATGGCGTTTTAGTCACGTGGTGCTTTATTATTAATTTGACAAAAGTGAGGTTAAATCCAGGTGACAGTTGTCAGATGTCAAATGTTTAACATATAAAATTTGGTTTAAAGCTATTTTTGTGTTCGTCGTAGATAAAGTATAGCTCGTTTATCAACTTTTGTAGACACTCATATGTTTCATACGTTTTATATAAAACGTACAATTATAATAATTAATAAAATTAAAAAGTGAGGTTAGATTAGATCTGACAGTAGTCGAATTTTTTTATTGGTTCAAAGGTATTTTTAACCTACTAGAAGTTAAAAATCTTTGCCCGTTTCCAAGGAAGTTTTTTGATTGATGATAATTGTTTTATTACAGATACATTCCAACAAGACTGTGGGGCTTTAGTGGCCACGTACAAACGATATTGCACAGTGCGATTGGTCGTATACGATGTCCCTGGCCAATAGGAGAGCGTGTCATTCTTAATTTAAAAGATGGCACCACCCTCACCTATGATTTATATCAACCCCTCGACACTAACTTTCCAGGTAACTTTTTGTTTTTTTATATTTTTAGGTTGTTTTGTTTGTTCTTATTATCATGTAATTTAGGTATACCTATACAGGGTATTCCGAAATAACGTTAACCCTTTATATTTCAGGAAGTAAATATACATGTAATAATAAAAGAATCTGTTCTTTGTTTTAAATAAACTAACTATTTATTTGAAAGATATGCATTATTATATATTTTAGAGGACGTTAAAAAACTCTACGTTAAACCAAAATGATTACCATAGTTTTATAAGTATTACCTAATTTAAGAAAATTTCTGCAATTTAGCATGCAATTAAATTTCACCTCATTGGCAATATAAATTACAAACAAAAATGTATTCCGTATTAATATTGCTTATGAAAATTGTTTCCGAAATATTTTCCTCATACAAAATCATCTAGCATTGCGTTGCTGGAATTTATTTTTAGATTTTGGTGCCTACTTTTATACTTTAATAAAATTGCCATTAATTTTAACAACCTTAACCCACTTGAAAAATATCTACTTAAAAAAAATATTTTTTTAAATTTTATCCATAATGATATTTTAATTTACAACTAAACAATATAAAAATAATAATAGAAAACACTTTTGTTTGCATAAGCTCTTGTAATTGTAAAAAATAATAATTCAAACACAATAAAAGAAAGTTAAAGAAAGTAGTTGGACACTCTATCACGATAATTACTTGACCGGGCGGTAATGTAAATTTAAAAAAATTTATTTATAGTAAAACTTTTTAGAAAACTAATTTTATTAAAAGTTTTATAATCTTTAAACATTATTTTTATTCACCTACAGAAAGGTACTTACTCACTCTGTTATATGAATTTTTAATTGAACTATTATACACGTGCATTAGAAACATAATCTACATGATTGATTTGCATATTTTTTATTAAAATCATTTAAAACAAATTATAGATCATTTTAAAATTTTACTGTTTATACCATAACTAAAAGATCAAAATTCAAGGTTATTTTAAGATTTCTTACACTTAATTGCATAACATAGATGCTAAAATTATTTTGTTATCTCATAAGACAGGAAATATATTTCAATGCTTAGATTTATTTCATTGGAGGTTATTAACATTAAATATTTGGAATGTATTATAAGAATTACAAGAATCCATTGCTAGTGAACCTATTGCAAGAAAATATTGCAGAGTAAACTTTGCCTTGAAAACAATAAAACATTTTATACTTAAAATGATGGGATTATTTTTTGTTTAATTACAAATAAATAACAAAGTTATTCTAATGTTTTGACACAATTGATTATGTTGGTATTGTATGTTAATATAAATACTTATTAATAAACGACCATTTATGTAAGCATCATATACCTATTTATTGAAATAAAAAAACGCTTTACTACATATTGGCCAAGAGTGATAAAATCTAAAAAATGTTTTAATTTTATGATTATAAGATTAAAAAACAAAGAAGGCAATGTAAAGTGGACAAGGATGTCTAGATTTTTCTCTTGTAATGTTTACTTGTAAAGGTAATTAGACATAAAACAGCTATTTAAAAATATATCGGAAAATGCCTATTTTCTGAAATACCTACTAAAATTTTCTAAATGAAAATTTTATGATTTCAAATTATAATAAATTGTAAATTATAATTGTATTCCTTTTGTTAATTAAATTTCGAAAAATTGAAATTGTGAAAGTAATTATTTATTTTTGCTTGCCCATGCATATAAAGTTATATTTTTAGTTGCTTACTCAAACAATTGTTTGATACGGTTAATTAATGTGACATATGATTCATCGATTTAATGTTCCTACCAGGAACTACTAAATTAAAATTGATACCCAACAATTTTTTATAGCAAAAAATAATTATTGTTTTTCCACTCCCACCTTTAAAACGCCCATTATCGTACATGTTTCCATGAAACTAAGTGCTTTAGTCACGGGCTGAACTTAGTAACAGGTTAGTTGTCAAACGTCATATAATCGTTAAAATAAAGTGCGCTTATCTTTTGATTTTGCCTGCAGTAAACAAGATTTAACTAAAAGCATTAAAAAATTCGGGCGGAGACTCCCATAAAACATTCTCTTCACTTTCACTGTGAAAAACTGCTTCTGTCATCATTTAAACGGTTGTTAGTCCATTTTCAAGGGATAAATTTCAATTTACACATACAAATTTGATATTTTGAATGGTTATACAGATTTCCAAGTTAAATTTTTTTATTTTTTTATACAAATATTTAATTTAAATAATTTTTAGATAATAATAAGTATTTGTCGGATCAAAAGTATAGTATGAAACTTGTTTATAAACTTTTCTAGCCACACATTTAATTAAAATTCTTGACTAAAATGGCGTTTATCGAACTTATTACATAATATACTATTTTGTATGGTTTAATAACTTAAAAAAGTTAATTAGTTTAAATTGTTTTAATTTAAATTAATTAATTTTATGTAAATTAGAAAGTGCTAGAGCTATATTAATTTTAAGTAATTATATGGAAACGAAAAGGACTTAAATAAAATTAAAGCTGGCGTTTTAAAAAATATATCTATTATATCTAAATCGACTATACAATTTATCCACTCATCAAATTAAGCGAAATAAATTTGCACAGTCAAGTACCCTATGATAACAAATCTAGATTGTGCTCGTTTCATTAATTAGTTCAAACAATCGTTTAAAGTAATTAAATTAAACTTTTTGTTTTTAAATAAACATTCTGTAAAGCAGTAAAAACAGAAAACAACAATAAAACAAAGCTTACTTTAAAGCAACTTATACATAGTATAATATAAAGGTTGTTCGAAAACTTAACGCAATTTTTCGCTGACAAAATCCGTATGTAGGTACTCTGGAAAATATACGCCAATTCCACCTGTTCAATCAAAATCAAATACCCAGTTAAATTAATGTTTAAATAATTAAGATAATATTATTTTTTATTATTGGTTTGTTTAAATTACATTATTTTTTATGGAAATATACACATTTGAAAAAAAGTAGCAATTAACAACTTAACAATATTTTAATTTAAAAAAAAATCCTTTATTACAAAAAAATTAACTTAACATTGAATTAAATTAAATTTATTTAAGAAAATAAATGTAAAAATTAAATATACTGTTGGTTGGGTCTCTTTTGCAAAAATAAGTCCATTAGAAATATCCAACTACAAAATAATGAATGATTTATAAAGTTAAACAAAATTATAATTTTATAAATCAAAGTGTGAAATAAAAGTTATTTTAATACAGCATAGAATATGTTTTTTGCGGCCCGGTAGAATATTCTTACTGAATTAAGATAACAGGAATAATTTTTATAATCATAATATGTAATACATATTATTATAGTATTATGATTATAATCAGCGTCGGAAACTAATTTTTTTCTCAATATCAGTGTACGGATATTATCCTTAAAAATTTGGAAATTTTTAGAAAAACTGACTTGCATTTTTTTCGTTTTACCCTTTGAATAAAATTTAAAAAACTAAAAAGTCAATTTTTCTGAAAATTTCCCAACTTTTCGGTTTTTATCCGGAAAAAAAACGGTTTTTTTTCGCCAGCTCAATTTTTCCGGAATTTTTAAAACCCTAGTTCATAGTAACCTAAAAAAAAGTTATTTAGATTTTGGTTAATTTACTTAGAATCGGAGATGTAAAAAACGGTTTTTTTTCAGATGTGAAAAAAAACCTAGAAAAAAAACGGTTTTTTTCGAATTGAGTAAAATATATATTAATAATAAAGTGAAATGTAGAATATATTAAATTTTTCATTATTGAAAATTTTGACCGAGACTAAAAAATCTGATTTCTTATTATTTGGTAGTTTCCACATTAGAAACCAGTACTGCCGTGTTAAGCTTAAAGGTCGTATCTGCAATATTTTGTAGTAAAGAACAGAAGAAAAGTTTTGTCTTCGAACGGCAGTTTGTGGTAGTAAAGAAAAAACTTTATTCTTTATTGTTTTTAAAAATTAAAATTTTCTTCTGTCCTTTATTACAAAATATTGCAGATACGACCTTTAAGCTTAACACGGCAGAGTAGCAATGTAAAACTTCTACACCAATACAAAAAATTAAAGGATAAAAAAAATTGTTTTGCGATTCTTCGGATAGCTGAATCTTTGTTAAAAATGTTCTAGTTTCTAGTTTTGAGATTTTTAGATGAAAAATGTGCAACGCTCAATCCTAACAAATACCGTAATAAAAAAATCAATTTTTTTGGCTTTCTGGTCCACGGAATGTTCTGACTTAACCACCAATGAATAAATGTTCTACAAGAATTCGCTATTGTTTTTTTGAAAAAAAAAATTCCATACTCTACATGAATTTGAAAAATCATGAAAAAAGTGCTTTTGGTAACTTTTTGAAAAATCAAGCGCTTAATCAATTCGATTTTATTAATGCTAATGTAGTTTGAATACCTACATTAAACATTAAAAAAAATGTTTCAGAGCCATTCAACTTAACTAAAATCGTTCAAAACGTCAAGATCTGTAAAAAAATTGAATTACTAACGCCAAAAGGGCGTATTTCGAGACATACGCCCTTTTGGCTTTAAGAACATTTTTTGAATTTTTGTCATAATTTGAATTTTTTTCAATTTGAATTTTTTTCAATTAGACTTTTTTTATTTTTTTTGAAAATTTTATTTTTTTTATTTGATTTTTTTGAAAATTTTAATCATTTTAAAAAATTTAAAATTTTAATTAGGTAGATATTTTGGAAAATTTGAATTTTTTTTGAATTTTGAATAATTGTCAAAATTTCATATCGACAAAAAAGTTTTTCCAAAATTTGATTTTTTTATGCTAACGAAAAAAAAAATTATTGGGTCGTTACCACAGACCTACAAACAAAATGGACTGGCCTTTCCCATTCAAAATACACAATGTTTTGTTGCCAAGAACGATTTAGATTAGGGGTAAAGGAGTAAGGGGAGGGGTGTTTATAAACAAGTTCCCACACCAGTGGCGTTCTGTTTTTGGGATCATAATTTAAATAAAAATATTAAAAATAAATAAAAACATTAAATTGTACATTTTTTTTGTGTTTTTCAATCCTATGTAAAAATTATATTTAATATATATAAATATATAGGTATAACAAAATACTAACCTTGTCCAGATGATAGAATCTAGCTCTTTAAATCTAAAATTTAAGTGAATTCATTTATTTATTTATTCAGTTTCTACGTCCCTGGCAGGGTTTGTTTTGTAAATAAACTAACCTATGAAAAGAAAGTTTTAAATTCTTGGATCCAAGTCTTTTACAAACGTAGCACTGCTTCACCATTTTTATATCACTCACTATTGGTATTTTTCACTATAAAATCAAATAAAAAATATTAAATAAGTTGTGGATTCCAAGATCTTTTACGTAAAATATAGATAGGTACTTCAAAGCAAATAAAGTCAGTTGTGACAACTGAGGGAAAATATTTATTTTTGTTCCTTTCCACTCTTTTCAATGTAAATAAACCGGTCCATTTGTTTGTTGGTCTGTGGTCGTTACCCATTACACATTTTTTTTAATGAGTAATGTAAGATGTTCCATTACTTATTGCAGACTTTTTAATGAGTAATGTATTGCTACACTACTCATTGAATTGTTTAATGAGAATTGAAAATGTTTTACATTAAATTTTTTTTAATGGGAAATGGATTAGAGTTACATTTCCATTAAAAAAAAATGACGAATGCATTATTTTTTACATTAGGATTTTTGCAACACTGATTACTGCCGAAGCTACACTACAAACTTTTTTCTTCAAGCAATAAATACTATAAAATAATATAAAATTATATTTATCTCCACGCGGTCTATAATTTAAACTTTGTTGTTTGTCAACATTCAATAAAGAAAAAATTTTATGAGGCAAGTAATCAGTTCGATTTTTTCTCGCTAGGGGTATTGTTTTGACAAATTAATCCTTTTCTAAGAAATTAACGTGCTAAACTGGTTTAATTTATTTATAATAAGCACTAATTTGTTTGTTTTACTGTTAATGTTTAATATTTTTCTTAAAATTATTGTAAAATTAAATATGAATAATAAAACAAAAATTTAAATTATCTTTAAGTTTTCAGTGAAATTAAATGTTAAACACAGCTTAAACATTCCAAACTACCTATTTTTTAAATAAAAATCCAAACAAATTGAAATTAGATACCTACCTATTTATTAAACAATTAATTGAATTCAATGTAATAGCAAAAATCCTTTTCTACTTAAATCATGGTGCTAGGTATTGTAAAACTATTACTGCTTCTAAAAGCAATAATAATTATTGAACATTTAATGTAATCTTTAGCTAATAAATAAATGAGATTCTAAAAAAGTGAGGTTAGGCCGCTTAGCACAAAAAGCCTTACTTCTTAACCTAATGACATAAATAACTATTTATCAAGAGAGTTGACTTCTTTAGATTAAGGGCACCTTTTTTGGTGTGGTTATTTAACCTAACCTCGAACCACTGTAATCTGTTAGGTATTAACCGTTGCAATTTTTTGTTCTGTACAGACGACATAAGCATCGCAATCTGCCCGGGCATCGGCAACACCTCAGAGAGCGTGTACATAAGGACCTTCGTGCACTGGGCTCAGTGCCACGGTTACCGTTGCGCCGTCCTGAACCACGTGGGCGCCCTGAAGTCGGTGCCCGTCACCTCGCCGAGGATATTCAGCTACGGCAACACCAACGATTTCGAGGCGATCTTGAAGAACATCGTGAGAAAGTACCCGAGCACCAAGGTGATATGCGTCGGGTTCAGTCTCGGCGGAAACTTGGTCACGAAGTATTTGGGCGAAGATAGGAAAAGACCGACGCACATCATCGGCGGGATTTCCGTCTGTCAAGGATACAATGCCATAGAGTAAGTTTTGATTGGATATAATAATAATAATGATCTTTATTTTCCTTTGAGTAATTACATTAAATCGTCGGTTCTAAAAATATATAAAAATAGATTTTAAACTTATTCCAAATCGGTTGTCGTAGGTCAACAACAACCAGTGGCGGCCCAAATTTTTTACTTTACTTATAAACATTTTTTTAAAATTTATTTAAAAAAATGGGACTAATGCAAAATGATAGAGGAAAAACTTTCTGATTTTTTGATAAAAAACAGGGAATGTTTCCGCTAACTTTAAAAGAAACTTTCAAATGTAACGAACGGGGCCAAGGGGGCACATTTAAATAATTAAAAAGAATATTAAAACCACAAAAAACTACATTTGGCCAAAACACGTGATCGTCTAGTTTAAAGAAATTAATTTAGGACCCCTTTTTGTTGTGAATACGGTTCTGGATACGTAAGTACTTGAGCAATTGAAAAGATATTTAAAGAGCAAAGAAAAAGTATTAAATTAAAATAAGTTTACTAATAAAAAAAATTAATACAAGAGTTAATATTATTGCTACTGTACATTAATAATATAAATAATCAATGATTTAAGTTAATAAGGTAAAACCTTAAAAACCCACATATACAATATAGACATGTATATAATATATTATGTCGCACATCTCAACAATATAAATAATACAACAAAATCAAAGTAATAAATATGAATTGATCACCATTGATTATCAATTATATTATCATATTGCTAAGATTATTCACCTACATAAATGGTAGGCTCGGACGGTGTAGAAAAGCAAATACACATTGAAACAATTATCAATGTACAGCAACAAGCAACAATAATGTGAAACATAAAGTATAATATAACCTAGGTCACAAACAATAATAATAAATGGTATTTGTATAAATAAAATATATAAATAACAAGTGGTGTAGTAGTGGACAACGGTAATGCAATTTAATTGTACAGTCATAAATAACAAATACAATCAGGTATAATCAAGTAATAAAAACATGTCAGTGCAAATCAAATATAGCAAAATAAAATGATTATCAATAATAATACAACAAGACAATGTCACAAAAACTAACATCATAGGCCCTACCTAGCATTCATTGTCAAGATGGGTGAATTAATAATTATAAGTCTCCGGGCTCGACCCCCTCGACCGTTACCAACACCGTTAAACAATAAAATAAAATTCTAACAAGTGTTTGGTGTGGCGAAATTGCAACAAAGCCTCAACATATTAAATAATGAATATCAATTTATCAAATAAATAAAATAAGATAAACTATACAAAATAAAGTATGTAAATGTTAAATATAAATGAGGAGTGATTTTTCAAAAGGTCGTATTTCCATTTGCAACAATTTTTCAAAAAAATGACTATAACCTGTCATATTTCGCCGTTAATATATGCCTTTTAACCATACCTTTGGGATTTTGTCAAAAAATTACATTCAAGTAAAAATGGAAATAAGGCCTTTTGAAAAATCACTCCTCAAATATGTAGTAAAATGAAAAATTACATTACAATATAATATGTTAAAGTAAATGTAATATAAATATAATAATTATAAACATAAAATAATGATTATAATAAATATGTAATTTGGGTTTGTCCAACAACAACCATTAAGATAAAACAATTAAGCTTATTCCTTCTCTCACAAAGAACAAGTTGAAATAATAATAAAATATAGTTTAAATTAAATATTAAATAATTAACAACTCATTATGATATTTGTGACCTTTGATTATAATAACTAAATATAGAAAAATATTTAAATAAACTACACTTTCACAAAACTGAATTTATATAAAAACAATGTAATATTGGTTAAATTCGCTCCCTTATAAAATTAAAGAATTCAACTCGTCCCTTCAAATAGTAAAACGTAACTATCTAAAATATACTTTCTTCTCTAGGTTTTTTTTTAACACTCTCTTTTTATGTTTATTTTTCAACACTCGGAACATGAACCAAAACTTGCTTATTTGGTCTTTCTGTCTCGAACCCTCAAGTGGCCGTCCAGTTGGGAGACATAAATTATTATTGTATAATAAACATAAATTATTATTGTATAATAAACAAATAAAGAATGTATGGAATTCTAAAGTGAAACTTATACCTAACACCTTATACAATTTTAAAACAAATATTTAAAATTTAATATAATATTTCGTAAAGCTTAAAACTTAAACTACCAAATGTTAAAAATTAACTGCCCCATATATCATCCCATTACACAAAGTAAAATAAATTCCCGACTGGAAACTTTCAAAAATGGAAACTTTCCGATTCCCATCTCTACTCTTATTTATAAGTTGACCTTCCTCACATTATAGAGAACTTATTTCTTCGCAGGGGCACCAAGCTGCTGCTGAACTGGCAGAACTTCCGCCGCTTCTACCTGTACATAATGACGGAGAACATGAAGAGCATAATCCTTCGGCACAGGCACGTTTTGCTTTCGGAGGACGTGAGCAAGCGCTACCAGCTCAAGGAGCAGGAGATCCTGGCCGCGGCCACGCTCCCCGAACTCGACGAGGCCTACACGAGGCGCGTGCACGGCCTCAACTCCATCACCGAGCTGTATCAGTGGAGCTCGAGCATCAACTACCTCGGCAACATCAGCTTGCCCATGGTGTTCATCAACGCCAAAGACGATCCCATCGTTCCCGAAGTTTTGTTGGAACCCATCAAGAAGTTGGCCCGTAAGTAATCAATTAAATTGAATGTCAATATTTTACAAAATATACAAAATACACTCACGTGCAAAATAATCGATCCACACAAATTTTCGATGAATTTCAATCGCAAATAACTTTTTTATTAGATGTCGGATTTAAACGAATATTAAAGAATATTGTAGATACATTAATGGAGAATCGCTCACATTTTAAAAAAATACTAAAGAATAGACGTACGTTTTTAATATACAGGTTTAAACAAAAAGATGTTTTTTACCATATTGCAATTTCCAATATTTTTCTGTATGAAGAACTAAGGTTGCTATGGTCCATCCATAGCCTATGAAGAATGACAGTGACAGTTTTGTTGAATCATCCCATACTTGGACATGTCATGCACGGCTTTCAAAAGCTATCAAATTGTTTTATGCAAATTAGTGTTTAAATTTTGAGGTGTCTTCTTACTTTAAAAAATGGATATGTCTCCGACTGATGTTGCCAGAGCCATTAATTTAATCCAGGATGGACGGTCACAGTATTACGTGGCAAGTGTTTTAAACGTCATAAGAAGTAAAGTACAAAGGGCAACATCAGTCGGAGACATTTTTAAAAGTAAGAAGACACCTCAAAATTAACAAATTAATTTACAAAAAACAATTTGATAGCTTTTGAAAGCTAGTTCTTCATACAGGAAAAATATTGGAAATTGTAATGTTTTTTTTAAAAATCCATATTTTCCACAAAAATAAATATATCGAGGTGAACCAAAAACAAAACTGTTAAGAATAGATGTGACTTGATAAATAAAACTTAATTTAGAACAATATACGGTTTTGCCACTCTACAGAGTGTCTTAAACTTATGGTAAAAAACATCTTTTTGTTTAAACCTGTATATTATAAACGTACGTCTATTTTTTAGTATTTTTTTAAAATTGAGCGATTGTCCATTATTTTATCTACAATATTCTTTAATATTTGTTTAAATCCGACATCAAGTAAAAAAGTTATTTGCGATTGAAATTCATCGAAAATTTGTATGGATCGATTATTTTGCACGTGAGTGTATTTTGTTGTTTTTACATTTGGAAATAGGTTTGAAAATGTTTTATAAAATGGTGACATTCTTAAGGTTTTGGATTTTTTAAATTTTAAAGCATGTCATGGCATATTTAAACCATTATTAACCCCAACTTTGTTCAGCGGATCAAGTTGAAAAACATTTTTTTTTGTTTTTTTTTTATTTCATTTTTCTAGGGAACGGTAAGTTTAAAAAAAATGTGAACAAAACATGTTTTGGATGAAAAAAAGTACCCAATCGCTTTTTCATCCTGAAATGCAAATGCATGCAGCACTGATTTAAAAAGTTGTTTATTTTGAAACTATAATTTTTTTGTTTTTTTTTAAGATAAACAACTTTCTTAATTATATACAGTGTCGAAAAAAAACCGTACAAATTGTTTTTTTTTCTTCAGTTTTTCCCAGGTCTTGTAAAAATTGTCTTTTGGGAAAAATTAAATTTTTTTGTTGGAAAATATACACTATGGTGCTTCATTTTAAAGCGACATTTTTTTTTTAAAGTCCCATCTGAAAATCTTGTAACCAGTCAGAAAAAAAAATTTGAGCTATTTATTACTAAGCTCTGAATTTTTATTTTAAGCCGTTGCTAAACAATTTTTAAATATTTCCCTTTAAAAACCATTAAAAAACAAATAAACTATAACTGATACAGAACAATAATTTTTGACAAATTTGTGGGGCACAAAATTCCCTACAAAATTGTCATTTACGTTTTTTTATCTACAATCAATAGTTTGGTCTCCAAATACGATTTAGAAGATTTTTGAGTAAAACTTACAGACTTGCTGAAATGGACATTTTTGAAGATTATTTCATCCTGTATAAAGATTTTAGAACCGAAATTCGGAAAAAATATTCTTACTGTACGAGCGGAAGGAGAAAAGAATAAAAAATTGTTTTTTTATGGTTTTTAAAGGGAAATAATTAAAAATTAAATAGCAACTGCTTAAAATAAAGATTAAGAGCATTCTAATAGCTCAAAATTTTTGTTTTCTGACCGGTTACAAAATTTACAGGTGGGACTTTTTTTGCAAAAAGGAGTTCATTTAAAATATCCAATTACAAAATAAAGAATAATTTATAAAGTTAAATTACAAAATTATAATTTTATAAATCCAATGTTTAATTATTTTGCATAAAACCATTTTCCAAAAACCCATTATAGGTTGAGTAATGTCTAGATTATTTCTTGAATTAAAAAATATATTTGACAATTAATAAAATCCGACGTATATATCAAAATTTATGAACAATTTTTTAAACAAAAACTGTTTTTTTTCTCCGGCTTAGTTTTTCCGGAAATTTTTTAAAACCCTACGCAGCGCTGTAATTAAATTAAATTGTTTGTTTTGAAAAAAACTATAAAATTTGTATTCATTTTTTTTTCTACGATAAACCGTTTCGGGTTTTTAGTGAAATCTGAAAAATATTTTGGTTTAATTTTTATCGAAAACGGTAAGTTTTAGAAGAAAAAAAATTGCACCAAAACCTTCCTCTACATTTTATATCATTGGAAAAATTGCTTTTGGACTCTTGAAAAGTTTTTTTTAACGCAGCACTGTATTAGGGTTTTTAAATTTCCAGAAAAATTGAGCCGGCGGAAAAAAACGTTTTTTTTTTCAAAAAAAATCGGAAAAATTGTGAAATTTTCAGAAAAATTGATTTTTCGACCATTTCAATCACAAAACTGTTTTAATAAAAAAAAATTTAGGTAATTTATTATATATTATTTTTGAATCAAAATTGTCAAATATATTCTTTTTTTATTAGGCTCCCTGTAAATAAAAAAAATCTCAAGAAATATTTTATAAAAGTAGAGATAATTTCAATAATTGGCAGGTGTGGACAGGACAAGATAAATCTTTTTTTGTCCCATCCAAACCTTTCAATTATTAAAATTATCTCTACTTTTATAAAATATTTCTTGCGTTTTTTTTTAATTTAATATAACACCTAATAAAAGAAGAATATTTTTGACAATTTTATATAATATGTATTATAAAATAAATAATCTACAATTTTTTTTTAATAAAAACAGTTTTGTAATTCATGCGTTTCGCGCGCTTGAAATGGCCGTTTTGCATTTGTTTTTATTTTATTCAAAAGGTAATACAAACAAAATGCAAAAGTCAATTTTTCAAAAAAAATTACAAATTTTTACGGATTATTTCCCTAATTATAAAATGAAACAATCAAAAGCCTTGAATTTTCGAATAAATTTTGTTTAAATAAGCGATTAAATAACTAGCACTGTTTAACAGCGATTAAATTTTAGCCTCCATATTGGATTTTTGTTTACGATTTTATGGTGTTATTTACGAGTTTTAAACATACTTTTTTTAAAAACAATAAAAAATAAGTTATCTAGTTTACGAAATATCAATTATTATTTATTACATATCTTTAAATTAATGGTATAAATTGTAGAGGAAATTTTTGGTGCATATTTTTTTCTAATAAAACTTAAAAATTAATCCAAAATCTTCTTGAGTTTTCACTAAAAACCCGAAACGGTTTATCGTAGAAAAAAATTGAATATGAATTTTCTTGGTTTTAAAAATTTCCGGAAAAACTAAGCCGGAGGAAAAAAACCGTTTTTTTCCGGAAATAATTTTGTTTAAAAAATTGTTCATAAATTTTGACAAATTGTTTTTTTTTCGGAAAAAGGCGGAAAAATTGGGAAATTTTCAGAAAAATTGACTTTTGAATTTTTTTTATTTTATTCCAAGGGTAATAAAAAAAATGAAAATTTTTACGGATACTATCCGTTCACTGATATCAATTATGATTATGACAATTATTCCTTTTATTTTTAATTTAATTAAATGTTTAATTAAATTTTTCCTGTAAGGATATTTTTTTAAAATAATGTTAAGTTGTTAATTGCCACTTTTTCAAAGGTGTATTTTTCAAACAACAAAAAATTGCCACAAAACCAATTTTTTTAAGGCCTGGTAAAAAAAAGGAAAAAAACAGGTTTTTTCCCAATTTTTTCGTTTTTGTTCGGTATTAAAACCCTAGTGCTGTATTAAAAAATGTTTTTTATAATTTTTTTCTCTAAAACTTAGTTTTCTAGAAAAATGAAATCCAAAAAACCCCGCAAAGTTGGTGTTAGGCTTTTTTATGAGCCCCAAACGATTCATGCAAAAAAAAAAACGTGCATGGTCAATTTTTTTCCGAAAACAGCTTTTTTCCCGAAATATTGGCTAAGCTGAACTGTCATTTTTCAGAGGAGAAACCGAACCTAATGTACCTAGAGGTCGCTCACGGCGGTCATTTGGGTTTTTACGAGGGCGGTCTCATAAATCCGAACCCTGTGACCTGGTTGGACAGGGCGTTGGTAGCCCTGGTGGGCAGTTTGGTTTTAAACCACGACGACAACGTGCTGAAAGCTTAAAATATAACCTTACATAATGCTTCTGTTTTTATGTGTGTGTGCATATTTTTTAGTTTGCGGGTTCCATTATTTTGGGTCTGATGTAAAATTTAGCGATTTCCAAAACTTAACAATAATAATAAATTGTGCTAGTCAAAATTTATTACCTAAATGTTTAACCGTATTGGACAGATTTTTTTATTTTTAATGAATTGCTCACTTTAGTTGGTACTTTTGAAAAAATAAATGTATAGCATGTTTAGATTGTTATGATTGGTGTAAAATATTTAAAAACATCTTTAAAACTTCAATGGACAATATATGTTTTGGAATTTATTGAAAAACATTCCTCTATTTAATCCACTTGATAATATAGTGGTACAATTACCTACTATTTTGTTTGTTTGTTTATTTATAAAATAATTTATGGTGCATAAAAAAATATAAATAATCCGAAAATGCTGCCATTAGGTGCTCATAAAAATCTAAAAATGAAAATGTAGGAAAACTACAATAAACATTGAAATTGTGCATTGTAAAATAATAGTATTATTTGGTAATGTTTTGTATCGCGGCTTTTTCAAAAAAAGGTGTTTATTTAGGAAAACTAATTTCAAGAAAAATTTTATCACAAAACTTAAAAATAATCAAAATTATTAAACAATTTGGATTATTACTTTTGTAAATGGGACATTTCACCAAATATTTTCTTTACGCGGATTTTTTTAAATTTTGTGAAGTATTCTGGAGTTCGATATTATCCTTAATGTGCAGTGCATCGCTCCATGAAAAAGTCTGAAAATAGTTGACTTTAACCCAGGAGAGACAAAATCCCAAGTCCCGAAAGAGACAATAAATAGTTTTGTCAAAAAAACTAGTTTTTCCACCTAGAAACCATTTGTAATTCAAAATTGCGCGTTTGTGATTGGTGGAAATAGTCTATAAAAATACAGTACTTTTTTTGCGATTTTTTTACACAAAATTGTTATTTTCACGACGTGGTTATTTTTTCAAATAATTGAGGTTATGTATCTGTCAAATGAACCCAGATTTTGTCTTAATTTCTGAAAATATTATATTATACACATTTTTGTACAACATCTTAAGTTATGTTGCAAAATATACGTATTATATTATTTTCAGAAAATAAGACAAAATTGGCGTTAATTTAACAGATGCATAACCTCAATTATTTGAAAAAATAACATCGTGAAAATGACATATTTTTTCTAAAAAATTGTCAGAATTTAGAAAAATCGCATTTTTTATTTTAATTGAATTTTTGAGGGTCCTTGTTAATTTATAATAAAGAAGAAATATTTTCATTGAAAAGTTGGGAATTTTTTACAAAAACAGTACTGTTGGTATTTTTATTAAACAGTTTTTGTGGATGTAAAAAATGTTCCATAAAAATACAAAGAATACTGTTTTTTGTAAAGAATTCTTGGCTTTTCAATGAAATTGTTATTTTTTTTCGGAAAGCTGCGGTTTTTTTACACAAAATATTTTATTTTTACGACGGTTTTTTTTTATAATTGAGGTTATGCATCTGTCAAATTAACGCCAATTTTGTCTTATTTTCTGAAAATATTATAATATACACATTTTTGTACAACATCTTAAGTTTATGTTGCAAAATATACGTATTATATTATTTTCAGGAAATAAGACAAAATTTGCGTTAGTTTGACAGATGCATAACCTCTATTATTTGAAAAAATAACCCCATCGTGAAAATTACATATTTTGTGTAAAAAATTGTCAGCATTTAGAAAAATCGCATTTTTCATTTTGATTGAATTTTTGAGGGTCCTTGTTACTTATAATAAAGAATGAATATTTTCATTGAAAATGTAAGAATTTTTTACAAACAGTACTATTGTTATTTTAAAGAAACGTTTTTTACACAAGTTTTTGTGGTTGTAAATAAAACTCTATAAAATACAAAGAGTGATGTTTTTTTGTAAAAAATTGATTTTATGCATCTGTCAAATTAACGCCAATTTTGTCTTATTTTCTGAAAATAATATAATGCACGTATTTTTGTACAAACTTCTTAGTTTATGTTGCAAAATATACATATATTATTTTTTAAAAAATAACCACATCGTGAAAATGACATATTTTGTGTAAAAAATTGTCAGGTTTTACAAATAATCGCATTTTTCATTTTGATTGAATTTTTGAGGGTCCTTCTTACTTACAATAAATAATGAATATTTTCAATTAAAAGTTAAGATTATTTTACAAAAAATAGTACTGTTTGTATTTTTATAAAACATTATTATAAATAAATATCGTCAAAACTGGAAAAATCTTTACTGGGAACGTACTTAATAATAAGTTAAATATTCGGTGGAATGCCCCATATAAGTTTTTCAGAAATAGTACATTTTGAGCAGAAATTAACCAAAGAAGCCACGATACGAAACATTTACCTGTTATTTATGTAAGGTGTTAAAGCACTGATCCCCCACCTGTATTATTGTGATATGTAATAATAGTTTTATTTTAGGAGAAACTAGTAGGTATACTTACTACAATAACTAACTTATAAAAGTATTAATTATATATAAAAAAACAATAAATCAAGGGGAACAACAATAATTGCTTGTTTAATTTTATTCCATTGTAGGTTTACTATAAAAACCATTTTCCTATCTACTGACCAAATCTAATGCGGATGCCTTAGATGTCGGTCAAACGTTGTTAAAGTTATTTATTTTTATACCGACTTTTATACATTTAGTTATTGTTTTACTAGTATTTGTATATTGTTTTATACATAGCTTTTATAGCAATGTTTATATTATAAATGTGACAACTAAATGAATAACGAAAATGTTAAACAAGCCTTTTATTTTTCCCATTCCATTTCCACTGCTTATAAGCAAAGGATTAAAAACTAAAAAGGTGGGTAGTTTTAGGGAGGTGCAAGTCCGAAAATTTGAAGCAAAAAAAAATATAGCAGAAAATAAAATAATATTATAACAATTTTAATAATTACTTCAATAGCTAGACCAGGGTCGATAATTTTTGAAACCAAAAAAAATAACAGTAGGATGAAACCCATTGGAAAAGGAGAAGAATATAATAAAAATGAAAGGAAAAATAAATTACGGGCGATCTGACTGAAGTGGGAGGGGGGGGGGTTTAAGGGTAAAAAATGGTTTATCTCGATTTCCGGCAAAACTACAAGTCCTATGGAAAAAAGTTAAATGGCAAAGTTGTAGGTAATAAAAGGATCTACAACTTTTGTAATTACAATTTTTTTACATAACCTCAAAATTTATGTGAAAAATTCAAAAAACCAAGTTTTTGGTTTTTTATTTTTATCTTTTTCAAAAAAAAATTTTTTTCCACGAAATTTGGTGAAAACTTACCTTTTTATATTCCAAATACACTGTAATTTATTTGATTAAAAATATTTATTATTTCGCCTTATTTTGACTTAATATCAAAAAAGCACCCTAATTTTCAATCGAAAATTCTCGCGTCAAAATATCAGCTTTTTTTAAAAAGTCGGTGTGCTTTTTGTTCGTTGAAATCTCTACTTTCTGATGGTGTAAAAAATATATACATTACTATTGTAAATGTTCTCAGAAAATGCAAAAAATATTATAATGAATAACGAAAAAAACTCGAATTCGAAAATTTATTTTAATCATTATGTACAATTTCATCAAAAAAATGTGATTGTTGCAATTTTTTTTAGTTAAAAAGTTTATTTATTAAATTCTAATAACATTTATGTCAGAAAATCTCATAAAATATAAAAATACATGTAAATCATACTATTGAATTTAGATACTTCATTCTGATTACGTTATTCATTATAATATGTTTTGTATTTTCTGAGAACATTTACCATAGTAATGTACATTTTTTTTACACCATCAGAAAGTAGAGAGTTTATCGAACAAAAAGCACACCGACTTTTTGAAAAAAGCTGATATTTTGACGCGAGAATTTTCGATTGAAAATTAGGGTGCTTTTTTGATATTAAGTCAAAATAAGGCGAAATAATAAATATTTCAAATCAAATATTACATAAAAAGGTAAGTTCTCACCAAATTTCGTGGAAAAAAATTTTTTTATGAAAAAGATAAAAATAAAAAACCAAAAACTTGGTTTTTTGAATTTTTCACATAAATTTTGAGGTTATGTGAAAAAATTGTAAATACAGAAGTTGTAGATCTTTTTATTACCTACAACTTTGACATTTAACTTTTTTCCATAGGACTTGTAGTTTTGCCGAAAATCGAGATAAACCATTTTTTACCCTTAAACCCCCCCTCCCACTTCCCGAACTCAGATCGCCCGTAATTTATTTTTCCTTTAATTTTTATTATATTCCCCTCCTTTTCCAATGGGTTTCATCCTACTGTTATTTTTTTTTCTCTTTTTACCATTTTTAAAGGCTTCTGCACTGGTCTAAGCGTTTTTTTTGTTAATAAAATACCAGATATCATGATTTTAAGGAAAAAAATATTTAAAGTAAATTTTGTTAAACTCAATGGTTTGGGAGTTCTGAGACAAAAACTTGATGATTGAAGCAAAAAATATAACAGAAAATAAAATATCAAAACAATTTTAATAATTACTTCAATAGCGTGTTTTTTTGTTAATAAAATACCAGATATCATAAATTCTTTTTACTTTGATAAATAAAATATAATTTACAAGTTTTGCGTATGTATGTATAATAGATTATAAAGTTGGAAATAAATCAGTACTAAAGAAAACTCCTTACATGAAATTTCAAAACAGTAGGTATACTTACATAGTTTAAAGTCTTATAAATAAGGATAATCTCGACATTGAACATTTTAAATTTGTCTCGTTAATACTTTAAAATCACATTCATAATACTTCAATCGGCAGCTAGGCTCGAACTAGGCGAAGACTTGTCACGTTTGCTGCTTTTTTTGCTTTTCGATTTGTCTTTTTTCTTCGAGGAGCTCGATTGGCTGCTCGAGGCAGAATCTGCAGGTGAGGTGCTATTTGAGTGATCTTGAAGATGTAAAATGTCCCTCAGATTTGTCAAATCGTCATCATCACCCTCCACATCAACATTTAGTGATTCCAGTGGTTCAGAGTCATAGTTCTTTTTTGTACTTCCTAAAAAATTCTAATTTGATCAAAACTTAACCCTAAAAATCGATTTTATTTGACGTTTTATCTGTCAAACGGTTTTAACCCTAGCTACTTTGACAGTTACATTAATCAAGTGTCAAAACTAGGAAAGTTAGGTTATATCACGGTGCTGTTCAGGGTTGGGTCAGTAGAAAACCTTAGGTAATTTACCTTGGTAGAAAAGGGTAGAAAACTTGTTTTCGACTTGCGTCGAAAACCTATAGGGATTTCTACCTACGTAAATTACCTTATTCGACCTTCTCCTTCCACTTCTCTATAATTGATAAAAATTTGCCCTCATGCCAAAAATTATGTTGGGGTCTCCCAACCAAACGTGGCCCTTTTTTTCCCACCATAATAATGTTAAAAAACTCCAAATAACTTCAAATTTATGGTAGGTGTCTGATTTTTCACAACATTTAACAAATCATAATAAACAAACTTGCATAACCTCACATTTTTTGATATTTGACAGTATTCTACTTTTTTACGTTTTCTACCGTCGAAAACGTCGAAAAAGGTTTTCTACATGTCGAAAACAAAAATGTAGGTAGATACCCAACCCTGGTGCTGTTCTGAGAGGTGATTTTTGGACTTTCTGTGAAACCTAATTTTTTTTATATTCTTGTTAATTAGGTCATAACTAAAATTTAAAGAGCAAAATAAAAAAAATTTGACGGTTAATTTTGTTTTAATTGGATGTTTATTAAAAATATGTATGCACACTTTCAATTCTCTAATTAAAACTTGCGATTTTATTTAAATATTATCATAACTTTTTAAATCAGATTAATTTCCTAAAAAAAGGTCTATACATTTTTTATACCTTTTACTGTTTTGTTGTAATACACGTTTAAAGTTTTAATTTAAGGTTAAATGTATAGTATACATTTATTAAACAATAATTCTAAGGGTGCCACATTTTATTTAGGGCCGATTTATTCATTTTTGATTTATTTGACGAATAATTTCTTTGGATACTAGATATTGCCAAGACATGAAAGTTATCGGCCCGATAAACTTTACTAAAGATGAATAAACCGGTCCTTAGTTAAATTTCATGAATTTCTTCGTAACTTTTACTACAATTTTTCATTTTTGTTTATAAAAAACTAAACAAAAAACTAAACAAAAATTATAGAATACGTATACTGAAAATGACAATTCAAACGTCAAATAAATTTTTAATAGATCTAAGTTTCATGGCAACCTTTAAGGATATATTAATTAAGGGAACATAAATGTATACGTCAAATGTTAGATTAAAAGTTTGAACGTTTATTGCAACAAAACAGTAAAATATATAAAAAAAATTGTTAAAACCTTTTTTTTAGTTATGCAAATATGAAATATTTAAATTAAATCGCTAGTTTTAATTGGATAATTGAAAGAGTGCCTAATATTTTTCAGCCAATTAAAACAATTCAAACCGTCAAATTTTTTATATTTTGCTCTTAAAATTTTAGTTATGACCTAATTAACAAGAATATAAAAAAAAATTAGGTTTCACAGAAAGTCCCAAAATTACCTCTCAGAACAGCACCGTGATATAGTTGTAAGAAACTTCACAGTACCTTTAGACTTCTTGCTACCATTCCTGGTCTTCTTTTTCCTCCGTTTGTCCCCCAAATTCCAATTAACATCTTTATCATCATCGCTGGCCACTCCACTGTACGAACCCCCATCGGAATCCTTGTTGTTCGCTACCACTCTTCTTGTGGCGTTTCTGGATCGGCTGCTGGCCCTGCCCATTCCCATGCATTTTTCCAAGTGTGGAGCAAAGTAGATGGCGGCTACAGCCCGGTCGCAATTGGGACACACGCATTCCTGCGTTTTCTTCAGGTTGTGCTCCGCAAACACGTCGACGTCCTTATTTTCCTCCTCGTCCTGACTGTCATCCAATTCGTAGGCATTGGTCTTGTATTTGCGGTGCAAATCAAATATTATTCCTATGGCCATCTCGTCCACCAAATTATAAAAGAAATTGTTTATGGACGCTTTCAACTCATGCTTGTTTTGAACCAGTTCGTGAAAATCTTTTGCCAAACTGTTGAATAATTGTTTTCGATCTGGATTTGGACGTTTTGACATTGTCAAAATTTAAAATTGCCGCCGATTGTCTACCCTCGCTTGCTAGATTATAACCTCCAAATTTATTTATATCCTCTTAACTAATTAACTTACAAACAAACTGCACCAATAACATAATAATAAGGCAAATGTTATGTTAAGAATGTTTAAGTTATTGCAATTAAATCCACATTATCTTTGTTTATATTTTGACAAAGAACTTTGTCACTAAACTACCAAGAATCTAGGGACTTTTTCCGCGTTTAAGTTGGCGACAAATTAGAATTATTATTGATTATTTTTCTTATTAATAAAATTTTAACTTAAAATTTTTAAGTAGAGGTGCCAATGTAGTAAATATGAAACATTTTAATTAACAAATTGTTAATTTGTTGTTATAATGGCAAAATTAAGGTTTAAAACTGTCATATTTTTGTGTTTCTTAAGTTGGTGAAATAACAAATGTTTTTTGAGATTTCCATAAAAAATTACTGTAATAATAAATTTTCAAGGCAACATGTTACAAATGTAACTTTAATAATATATAATGTATCAAGTTTGATAAACGCCAGTTTATACACGAATTTAATTTAGGCATGAGCGAGCTTGCGAGCGAGTGCTTAAATTATTGAGTATAGAAAACTATACTATACTTTTTCTACGACAAATGCTTATTGTTATCTTAAAATGATTTAAATCAAAAATTTGTATAGAGCGCCATCTATGAAACAATAGTGTGTCACCGTCAAATTTTATAAACACAGATTATAAAGATTATAAATCGAAATGTATTTCTTGAAAATTGACAGTGAAAGTAAAGAAAATGTTTTATGAGCACTTTACAGTGGAGTCCGTGCCCGAATTTAAGTTATAGTTTACTGCCGGCGAAATTAAAAGGTCAGTACAATGTTCATATAAACTTTTCAAATATTGGCGTTGAGAAACTATTTTTTTAAGTAATACTTTTGTATTTTTGTATTGAGATAATAAAATAATGTTTACATTTAGTATTATTTTACAAGAAATGCACTTTATTTTAACGATTGTCAACTAACTTAAATCTAACTTCAGCCCGTGACTAAAAACCTGTTGCTACCCAAGTAACACGACGTGACGGCATTCTACTAGATTTCACGAAATCGTCACGCTCGTTCTTTATAAAGTACATTTTTATATAAATACGTTATCAAAATGAAGGTGACGCCTGCGTCACTTCTAAATTTTTGACGGAACCGTGAAGATTTTTCGTTATAAAGTAACTTTTTAAATAGATACTTCATAGAAAATTTGTGACGTTTGCAGTGCACTTTATTCGTGACGGAACCGCGAAGATTTTTCGTTATAAAGTAACTTTTTAAATAGATACTTCATAGAAAATTTGTGACGTTTGCAGTGCACTTTATTCGTGACGGAACCGTGAAGATTTTTCGTTATAAAGTAACTTTTTAAATAGATACTTCATAGAAAATTTGTGACGTTTGCAGTGCACTTTATTCGTGACGGAACCGTGAAGATTTTTCGTTATAAAGTAACTTTTTAAATAGATACTTCATAGAAAATTTGTGACGTTTGCAGTGCACTTTATTCGTGACGTTTTCGTGTTTTTAGGAACGAGATCTCTCGAGAGAGGGCGTTCTATAACCTTCTTTATCTCTGTCAGATTCTCTGGTCAGCCATTTTCATTGTCGTTGTTTTGTAGACACGCTGCCCCAAAAACGTGCTGCGTTTTTGTTGTTTTTATTGTTATCATTTGTTCTTATTCATTGGTTTATAGATATATATCTAAATGATATCATTTGTTCTTATTCATTGGTTTATAGATAAGGTGAGTTTTAAATTGTTTTAATTACTTTGGCTTGCAATTTTGCTAAAATTCCTATTAGTTCAGTAATTGTATTCTTTTCGGTACTTATAGATTTGTTGCAATATATTGATGACGTTGTTTTCAATAATTTATATACCGTAACTTCATTTGCAAGCTATACATACGGAAAATACATCGTAGGTGAAACAGACAAGTCGAAGTCAGCGGGAAACAGGTGACCTTGTTTACTGGCGATTAAAATTTTATTACGTCCTAATAATTTCTGAGAACTTTTTCGCTTTGCAAATGAAGGTACGTATATTTATAAATATATTTATTATTAAAATTTATTTTGTTATAAATTTTTTAGTATAGTTTAGTTTTTGTGTCTGGTGGTTATTCTAAAGAAAATATTTTAATTTGTATTTTATCAAAATTCTCTGTTTAATTTAAATACCTTTGTGATGTGGCAATAAATAGCCAAAGAAATATTTATTTTGTTATAAATTTTTTAGTATAGTTTAGTTTTTGTGTCTGGTAGTTATTCTAAAGAAAATATTTTAATTTGTATTTTATCAAAATTCTCTGTTTAATTTAAATACCTATGTGATGTGGCAATAAATAGCCAAAGAATTATTTATTTTGTTATAAATTTTTTAGTATAGTTTAGTTTTTGTGTCTGGTGGTTATTCTAAAGAAAATATTTTAATTTGTTTTTTATCAAAATTCTCTGTTTAATTTAAATACCTATGTGATGTGGCAATAAATAGCCAAAGAAGTATTTATTTTGTTATAAATTTTTTAGTATAGTTTAGTTTTTGTGTCTGGTGGTTATTCTAAAGAAAATATTTTAATTTGTATTTTATCAAAATTCTCTGTTTAATTTAAATACCTATGTGATGTGGCAATAAATAGCCAAAGAAATATTTATTTTGTTATATTTTTTTTAGTATAGTTTAGTTTTTGTGTCTGTGGTGATTATTCTATACATAGAATATTTTTGTATACCCACAAAAATGGGTCTTTGAAATTTAGTACATCTACATATGTAATTAAATGTACATTTTTTATTAATAAATAATTAATAATTAATTAATAAATGTGCCTTACTTATTTAGCAAAGGAAATTAATTTATGTAATTTGGTTATTATTATTTACTGTAAATGCGTACTTATATTAGATTTAATTATTGACCATGGTCGGTCAATAATGAAAGCTAAATTTCTGTAAAAAAAATTAGCTTTCATTATTGAGCGACCATGGACAATAATTAAATCTAATATAAGTACGCATTTACAGTAAATAATAATCGTCACTAATTCGTCACAACCCTGCAAAGCAGATTCTACCACGGATTTAGTGTCAAATTCGTCACATTATTGTGATAAAAAACATAAAGAAATTGTCACGACTTGTAGGCACGCCTTCGTCACTAATTCGTCACAACCCTGCAAAGCAGATTCTACCACGGATTTAGTGTCAAATTCGTCACATTATTGTGATAAAAAACATAAAGAAATTGTCACGACTTGTAGGCACGCCTTCGTGAAGATTTCGGGGGTTAAAATTAGTGCGGTTTGGCCACTGTATCAGTCACAGAATCTATAAATTTTCGGGATCACGTTGAGCTCACGACAAGTAGAAATCGTAACAAATTTTGCAACGATTTCTTCACGAGGTGTTACTTGGGTAACTTCAGCTCCTGACTAAAGCGCCATAAAGCCACAACTTGTCAATGTGTATTTAAAGGGCGTTTTAAAGGTGGGAGTAGAAAAAAATATTTTCTTAGAATCTCAGATTTCGAACTTGTGTTGTAAAAAAATCTGAAATTATTTGTGAATGTGTCTGATGCCAAAATCATCACCTTATATTGAATATAGGAAGTATAAATAAGTACCTACCTACTTAAATAATTACTAACATTATGTTGATATTTTATTTTTCTTTCTTGTCATGAAACTTCTTTAAAATTTAAATACTCACCTACCTTCCTACTTAATTATTATAACTTTATTTTGATTTGTTAATGTATAAAAATGAAAATTAAAAACAAATTTATTTTAATAATACGCTCATAGAGGTCTATTTTTACTAATTTTAATTTACCCAAACATTTTGCGCAACAATTCGTCTTCAATTCAACAACTAATGTAATCAAAGAATATCCATGGCAACCATGAAAGAACACAAAAATGACCCGCAGTCTGCTTTTAAATAAAAACACAAACATTTCTATATACCGTGAAAAAATGGAAGATGAAAATTCGTGGGTTTTTGACTCTTTGGTTGCTTTTTTAAACGGACCGATATGGAACGCGCCTTTGCAAAGTTTTATCGAAGAAAAATCGTTAAGTAAGAACAACATCGTTTGTTTTAATGTTTGTTATTTCCATGGTTTTTAGTTTTTGAGCCAAATGTTCTGGAGAATGAAGATTATAGGGGGATTTTCGAGGAGTTTAAGAATATGGTGGATTTTATGCTGGGGAACTTCATGGAGGATATTGGAATCACACCGAAACAATTTGAGGATGCCTGCAGCGAGGGAAAAAAGCTGCGCGTCTCTTTTGACACAGTAAATATAATAAAAAATACCAAAACAAAAATTAACATGATTTTTATAGAATCTTTTTGAGCAAATCTGGGCGGCAAACGATTATGAAATGTTTAAACGGATGATGACCCAAAGGAACGTCGAGTTACAGTTGCAAGCCCTGGAACTGATAGAGCAAAAATACGGGATAACTCCTCAATCGTTTATTCCCAATAAAATTCAAAGCACCACGCAGGAAATTCCCGTAATCATTGAAAATTCCAAACTGGAAAAAGCGATTTTAGATGAAGTGGCAAAGTTAGATGAATAAAAATTAAATAGAATGCATTGGGTTAAATTGTTGTTTTTAGAAAGTTTCCAGATGAAAGCACCAGTGATATTATTGAGATTTGGGAAGAACAGGAGATACTGGAGGAAAAGGAAATTTTGGAGAAAGCTCTAAAGGAGGCCAAAGGTATTATTTTAGCTTTAAATCCAAGACCTTGGTGTTTTTCTGTACCTTTGAAAAAATTATATAAATATTGGTTAGTTATAAAAAACAACTAAAATGTGGCAGTTGAATTTTCGGGGACTTACCGAAATGTGGATTTTGTCATCCAAATAATTTGTTATATCTGATGGCATGCTTTATACCTAGCAAATAAAAGACTTTTTTGTAGTTCGCAACAAAATATTTATTTTCTATAATTTTTCTTGGAAAAACACGTTTTTTGGGGAATTTTAAATCTGTTTGGCCAAGTTGGCATCACTACTATGCAAAATTACGAAATCTTATTTTAAATGTATACATATATACATTTTATACAAAGGGTAATACGAAAAAAATTAAAAAATCAATTTTTCTGAAAAGTTCACTGATATCAAGAAAAAAAGGAATTTTCGACTCTGATTATAATCATATAAGTAATACATGAATATAATAATTATTCCTATTATTATAATTCAGTAAGAATCTTCTACCGGGTCGCAAAAAACAAATTCGGTGCTGTATTAACATAACTATCGTTTTATAAAATTATAATTTTGTAATTTAACTTTATAAATCATTCAGTATTTTGTAAATGGTTATTTTCCATCGACTACATTTTCCAAAAAGTACCCGACCGACAGTATATTTAACGTTTACGTTTATTTTATTAATTTTTTTTTCTGTTATAATTATCCTTTAGGATATTTTTTTAATTAAAATAATGTCAAGTTGTTGATTGCTTTGTATATTTTAGAAAAAAATCAAGTTTTCCCAAAAAAAGATAAAAAACGAAAAAAACTGTTTTTCCCCATTTAAAACTTTAAAACCCTAGTTTCTACAACATCTATTACTTTGTCCATTTTAAGCAGTTATTTAATAAAATCGATAAGGAACTTTGACACCTTTTATCTAGGTAAATTTATAAATTATAATTGAACCGGTGAGTTTAAGAACAGTAGGTACAAGTCCAAAAGTTAAAATTTTGACAAAATATTTTAAAAAATCAGTTTAATTGTTCTAAATGAATTTTTGTGAGAATATTTTAACTAGTTTATAAAATATAATATTCATATTCTGTAAAATGATTTATTTCTTCTCACAAAAATGTTTTTTGAACTTTAAAATTGATTTTAGAAAAAGTCTTGTCAAAATTAAATTTTTGGACTTGTACTGCTCTTATTCTCACCGATTCAATTATATGGCATTATTTTGGTCCCGTATTACTTTGAACAGGCATTTTAAAGACACTTTGTATAATCAATTTTAAATAACGCTGAAATGACAATTTCTGACATTTTTACGTTAAAACCTTTTTTCAGAAAAAGTGGATGACCAACTCACAGAATCAATGAAAACCGTAGAAAATCCATCACAATGTCATAGTAAAACCCCGGAAAAAGTAATTAAAGAAGTAAAACCAACTAAAGCAGCTGAAAAAATGGCGGAGCCTAAAAACAATACCTTGGAGGTTGTACAACATACGATAAATAAAAAAAATAATGCTTATTTTTTTTCAGGTAAACGACAGGGATCTTAAGAAGAGACAGGAATATTTGAGGGCGCAAAGGGACAAATTGGTGGCGTTGAAGAAAGAGGAGCGCAAAAAGCAGGTAACAGATGGGACGGACAAATTTAAGATCCGTCCCAAGTCCGCAAAAGCAGCTGCAGCTTTGCTGACTGGGGAACAGTCGACTATCGAGCCGCAGTCGCTGGCTGAAAGGTTGAAGTCGGAAGTGGTCTCCCAGAAGCAGGATGTGAGTTAATTGAATAAACGCTTTTTTTTTACTTATATTTATTATCTAAATATAACGAGTACAATTTTTATTTTACATTTTTTTAAAAACATTAATTTATTACATGAAAACACAATGTTAGAAAATGGCCTTTATAATCTGTTTCTTAAAACTTGTGGCTTGTATAAAAAATATTATAAGGCTGCCATTTGTAATAAATAATAGTGTTTTTTATTTGAAAATTGCACAAATATGATAATAAAAGTACCTATAATTCATTTAAAAAGGTAACTAAAACTATTTGTTCAATTTCCAAATACTTAATATTCAATAAGATATATTCGCTCACATTGTACGTTATCTGGATGTTGATCTTACACTATTTTGCTATTATTTTATTTACACTAGGAGTCTTATTTATATTGCTGTAAAAAAATCTTGTAGAGCGAACATACAGTTACTAATAAAATATTATATACACCAATTTGTTTTTCATTTCTTAATACAAATATCAAATATTTAGCACAGTTTTCCAAACAAAAATGTTCTATCTACTTATACCTTCCTACAATTAGCAAAAATCAGATAATAAATAAATGGTTATTAAATTAAATCTTAATTCCAAAAAATTAAAAATTATTCACACGTATTCTAAAGCAATACTGTATCCTTCCAGAAATTATACATTCACCTTATTTTCTATACATTAGGCAGTACTGTACTATATTTAGTCTCACTAAGAAAATTTTGGAATTCAACATAAATTTCACAAATAACTTATGTAGCAAGGTTAATAAGGGATTTTGGTAAGACTTGGTTTCCGTGTCGCGGTTTTTCCGAAAAAATAGTTCAAATGTACTGTTTTTAAAAAACTTGTAGATAAAAACTGGGAGGGCGTTTTGAACAATTTTTTGTAACCAAATATTGTCGATTTTTAAAATTTCTTAAATTTGTGTTGTAGATGTAATTACTTCAATAACAAAGTTAAAATAACCAAAATACATGGTGTAACAGTTGAAAGTTCGTTTTCAATTTTATTAAAAAACTGCAGAAAAACAAACGTTTGGCACAAAATTTGATTTAAGGGGATTTTCAAGCCAGGAAAATTAAATTTCCTAAAAAAATATTGTTGGTTTTAGAGGGCGCTGTCTGCGACACTGCATACGTTTAAATGGTCACATCTTTTTTGCGCCTTAGTTTATTTAAGTTTTTAATAAAAAATATTTCCATTACGTGAAAAAGGTATATCTTATAAATGTCGTTTTCGTGATATTTGCATTTATTAAATTGTTCAGTGCACCCATTTAATTGCGTTTTTTAAAAATGTTATGTTTTTTTATATTTTTTTATAATATTTATTTTACTAAACAATTTAAACACATCTCGAAAACGGTTACTTAAGCAAAATTTACCTTTTTGCGTAATAAAGATGATAAAAGTACAATTTGTATAAAAAAATACGTGACCATTCAGACGTATGCAAATTGTCGCATTACATTAATTTTTTTAAAGAAATTTATTTTTCTCGTCCTGAAAAACACCTAAAATCAAACTTTGCGCAAAAACATTTTTTATTCCAAAGTTATTTAATAAAATCGAACTTTAAACTTTGACCCCCTTTATCTATAGAGGTAAATTTAGTTATTTCGCATTTTCAACAAAAATTCTAATTTCAAGGGAAGTTTAAATCGACGATATTTTTTTTAAATAATAGTTCATCTTTTTTCGAAAAAGCCGCGGGATTTTAAATAAATATGGACGATTCACCCCGTTATGCTTAAAATAGTATTAAGTTTTAAAAACTGTGATAAATACATTTTAAAACATACATGTATGAAAAAGAAATAATGCACAGTATTAAACGAAATAGGAAGATAATTTATTCATCACAATAATTACAAAATTAAAGTTAAGAATAAAATATTTATTTAGTCTACAATGGACACTTCATACTGCCATGTTTACTTGATTGATAAATTTACTAATTATCTAGATTATGCCGATGCGGTATAAAATTGAAATTAACTGAATTAGGAAAACTTAATTTACGCGTTTTAGATAATTAATTCAAAAAATACAAGAAAAACGTTACTGAAAATTTGGTTTAAGCGAAAAGTTAACAGTATGAAGTTATATACAAATCTAAGCACTCCAATGACACTACACACAGTTTTAGATGATATATTCGATACTATATGCTATCTACTGCTAGATATTATAACTTAGCCTAAAAGAATTATTTCACATTGTTTTAGTAATTTTTACGCACGCTCCAAACAAATTTTAACCGCAACAAAATCGTTCTTTTTTACCGGAAAACGATTAGAAAATTTTGGTGTTTTGAGATTCGCACTTGCGTATTTGTAAATATTTAATACAATAATTGCTACAGCTTTCCGATATAAAACCAAACTTCGGGAGTAAAATGCATCGATTTGGAGCGTCGGTGAAAACAAAAACATTTCCTTGCATTTTCTCATCGTAAACGAGAAAATTTTCCATAAATATATTGGGAAACTATGTACAAAGCATTCACTATTAACCTGATAAAATAGTTCTTCATGGATTATCCATCTTTATACTTTTTTTTATATAAATAACTCGCAGAATTTCATTGTGTACAAAAATCCTATTTCATTTAGTTTAGGTACATGGAAATTAATCTCATGACAGCAAATCGCACTTATTAAAATAACTTTTTTATACAATGGGAAGCTTTTGTGCTTGTGTAGGCCAGTTTTGTTAATGGGTCACTCAACCAAATAATTTTTTTTTCGGTGCGACCCGCACTTAACATTAAGTACTTTCGTAGTAATAAATTCTCGAATTATGACGATATTTTTTGATATTTTTTATTCAATGCAAATAATGTTTTATAAAAATACAAACAGTAGTTTTTTTGTACCGAAAATTCTTAGCTTTGCAATGAAAATATTCCTTCTTTATTATAAGTAACAAAGGCCCCTTAAAAAGTTAATTTAAGTAAAAAATACGATTTTTCTGGCAATAAAATTGCCAAAAATATTCTTCTTTTATTAGGCTATACATTAAATAAAAGAAACGTAAAAAATATTTTATACATTTTAATAATTATTAAAATTTTATCTACTTTTATAAAATATTTCTTGAGTTTTTTTAATTTAATGTATAGCCTAATAAAGGAAGAATATTTTTGACAATTTTGATGCAAAAATAATATTTAATTGCCAACATTTTTTATAATTAAATAATAAAGCAATTGTAAGTCATTTTTTTCAAACTATTGTCAAATTACCGCCAATTTTTGTCCTGTATTTTTTTAAAATAATATAATAAAGTATTTTTGTACAAACTTCTTAGTTTATGTCACAAAAACATATATTATATTATTTTCAAAAATAACAAATATTGGCGTTAATTTTACAGATAAATATTGTCAATTATTTGAAAAAAATGACACAATTGCTTTATTTAAACAAAAAAATGTGAAATATTCCTTCTTTATTATAAGTAACAAAGGAACCTCAAAAATTCAATGAAAGTGAAAAATGCGATTTTTCTGGCCTTTATATTTCAAATTTGATTTTTCTCTGAAGACTGAGAATGTTTTGCACAAAATATGTAATAGGGTTATTTTTTGTTTAATGGGCCATTTTAAGCGCACAATACGCACCAATTACAAAACTCTTTTTGTCAAAAAAATTGTAGGTACCTATATATTTTATTATTAATTATTTTGGCATTGAAATTGTCAAAAATATTCTTCTTTTATTGGGGTATACATTAAATAAAAGAAACGTAAGAAATATTTTATAAATTTTAATAATTATTAAAATTATCTTTACTCTTATAAAATATTTTTTGCGTTTTTTTAAATTTAATGTATAGCCTAATAAAAAAAATATTTTTTATAATTTTGATGCGAAAATAATGTATAATAAATTACCAACCATTTTTTTTTTATATAAACTGTTGTGTGATTTGTCCCCATCCAAATGCTTGAAATTACAATTAAATATTAAAGCAATTTTAAGTCATTTTTTTTTTCAAAATATTGCAAAATTAATGCCAATTTTGACTTCTTTTTTTTTTAAATAATATAATAACGTTTTTTTGTACAAACTTCTTAGTTTATGTCACAAAAACACATAAATTATATTATTTTCTAAAAAATAAGACAAAATTGACAATAGTTTGAAAAAAATTACTTTTAATGGCTTTATTATTTAATTGTAATTTCAAGCATATGGAAAGGACAAATCATACAACAGTTTTTATAAAAAAAATTGTTGGTAATTTAATATATATTAATTTTGCATCAAAATCGTCAAAAATTTTCTTCTTTTATTAGGCTATATATTAAATTAAAAAAAACGTAAAAAATAATTTATAAATTTTAATAATTATTAAAATTTTTTCTATTTTTATAAAATATTTCTTGCGTTTTTTTTTATTTAATGTATAGCCTAATAAATTTTTGAAAATTTTGATGCAAAAATAATATATAATAAATTACCTACAATTTTTTTCTAAAAACTGTTGTGTGATTTGTCCTATCCACATGCTTGAATTAAATAATAAAGCAATTGTGAGTCATTTTTTTTTCTTCAAATTATTGTCAAATTAATGCCAATTTTGACTTTTTTTTAATAATATAATAACATATTTTTGTACAAACCTCTTAGTTTAAACATAATTATGTTAAAAAAACACATAAATTATATTATTTAAAAAAATAAGACAATATTGGCGTTAATTTGACAATAGTTTGAAAAAAATTACTTACAATGGTTTTATTGTAATTTCAAGCATTTGGTTAGGACAAAATTTGATTTAATCACACAAGAGTTTTTATAAAGTTGTTATTAATTTATTACATATAATTTTTGCATCAAATTTGTCAAAAATATTATTCTTCTATTAGGCTATACAATAAATTAAAAAAACGTAAAAATATTTTATAAATTTTAATAATTAATAAAATTTTCTCTACTTTTATGAAATATTTATTGCGTTTTTTTATTTAATGTATAGCCTAATAAAAGAAGAATATTTTTGACAATTTGGATGCAAAAATATTGTATAAGAAATTTTTTTTTTTATAATTGTTGTATGTATGGTACAATTAAATAATAAAGCAAATGTAAGTCAGTTTTTTCAAACTATTGTCAAATTAACGACAATTTTGTTTTTTTTTAATAATATTATAAAAACTTCTTAGTTTATGTTGCAAAATATACATATTATACAGGGTAAGTTTTAAGTTGACGCGTTCCTTTTAACAGAGGGTAGAAATCAGATAAACAAATAAATATTTTAAGTAACTTTTTTATCAAAACTCAAAAATAAGAGAGTTATAGGCCTTCCAAGTTTAATTAAATTTTGAGCCGGTCCTGGCTATTGTTAACAAAAAACATAACCATTAAAATAAAAATAACAAAAAAATGGTTTATAATTATAGCAATAATGAATTAGTGGAAATGTTACTAATTTATGGAGAGTGTCGTCAAAATGCAAATGCTGCAACTTAAGTAAATAATGACATTTTTTATTGCAAAATGTCAATTTGATTTAAATGGTTATGTTTGTTGTCAAATATGACATTTTGCATTGTTTATTTTGATATTTTTATGGTTATGTTTTTTGTTAACAATAGCCAGGACCGGCCTAAAATTTAATTAAACTTTGATGGGCTATAACTTTTTTATTTTTGAGTTTTGATAAAAAAGTTACTTAAAATATTTATTTGTCTAGCTGATTTCTACACACTGTTAAAATTTAATTAAACTTTGATTGGCTATAACTTTTTTATTTTTGAGTTTTGATAAAAAAGTTACTTAAAATATTTATTTGTCTAGCTGATTTCTACACACTGTTAAAAGGAACGCGTCAACTTAAAACTCACCCTGTATTATTTTTAAAAAATGTTACAAAATTGGCCTTAATTTGACATATCCTCAATTATTTGAAGGAAAAAAATGACACAATTGCTTTATTTAATTGTATTGAAACTAAAAATAACCCTACCGTGAAAATTACGTTTTTTGTGTGAAAAATTTTCAGCTTTCTGAAAAAATAACAAATTTGAAATAAAAATTGCCGCAGAGCCAGAAATATCGCATTTTAACCTAAATTTAATTTTTAAGGGTAAAGTTAAGATTTTTTATTAAACATTATTTAGGCTAAAAGAAAAAGTTGAAAAAAAATATCGTCATAATTCGAAAAATCGGATGCAGAAAACAAAATTCGCGAAGTCACACCCAAAAAAATTTTTTTGGCGGAAAAACCCCGATAAAAAAATCTGGACTAGAAGCGATCGAACTGATTTAAGAAGCCTTGCCAATTCGGTAATAAAAACATTTATTTGATGGTTTAAAGTAAGTTTCTCCTAAAATCGACAAACATTAAGTTTTTCACGAAAAAAAAAAAGAATGTATATAGTCTCACAATCATCGACGAATTTTACGATAAAAATCATCGATTTTCAGCCGCGGATGTTTGGTCCTGTAAATTATGGAACCGAGAAACTTTCGGCGAAAACTTGTCGGTTCGCTTCGAGTTTCACGAATAACGGCGGTTTTACTGTTTTACAAAACAAAGCGGGGCGGTTTTGTGAGTGTGGGGGGGTAATTGACCGTTCTTCCATAGCGCACTTAGTTCACAACGCGGGGGGTTTAGAGATGAGATCACACTTGGCGGCGGTCGCGTCGCACTCGAGTCCGCGACGCGAGTCACTCACCTGCGGATTGTCGGCGAAAAAAAAAAAAGAGGTGGGCGACTACGATAGCCGCGGCCGTTTCGTCACCTCGCCGCTGTCCTCTTCGTCCTCGTCCGAGTCGCCGCCTTCGTAGTCCACCAGGCTCTGAAGCAACGAAGAACCGAATGTAAATAAACTCACCTCTACCCAAAACCCGATAATAACCAAGACACAGTAGAAGGGCCCCCAAGCAGCATTTTAAGTTTAAATAACAACAAATTGACCTACTAGGTCAACTTTAAAGTATTTTTTACGGTTAACCAAAACGGTTTTATAACGGTATAGATACGAAAAATTACCAAATTTGGGGAATGCTTTATTTCGTTATTTTACCTACACAATAACCTTTTTGATCTACTAAGAGAATAACGTAATAAAAACAATATACCACAAATTTACGTAAAAATAACGCTATAATTGGGCCATTCCACGCTTAACGGATAGGACAGTTGCCGTGTTTTTATTTACAAAATAATATTGTTCTATTATAATACCAATGTCAAATTTTTATAAATAGTTCTAAACCCGTCCGTTACGCTTTAAATTATTAGTTTTTAAGGAATTAAACAGTCAACCACGATACCTAATTTTGCCAAATAAAAACCTTGTTAAACAGCTTTAGTTTAGAACTATTTATAAAAATTTGACATTGGTAATGTAATAGAACAATATTATTTTGTAAATAAAAACACGGCAACTGTCCTATCCGTTAAGCGTGGAATGGCTCAATTACTAACTGTTTGCTCTATCTTTCTAAAACATTGACATTCGTAAATTCTTTGTTTTTTTAATTTATATTTAACAAAATGGTACTTACAAAGTAATAAAGGCCACCATAGAGTAAAATTAAAAAATATAACTTAAATTGTCAAAACTAACAATACGTATTTTGCATTAAAACTCAAACGCACATTTTATTGATAAAAATATGCAAGGTTTTAAAAAAATTATTGCTTGGGTAAAAATTCAACAAAACTTAAAACCTACAAAATTTTATAAAATCTTTAAAAAATCATTTAATTTTAATCATTTTTTAATAACTAAAACTTTTCATATTCTATTTTAGAAAAATATTTATGAAAAAATACTCATTATGGCGACCTAAAAAAAAATTCCCAAATTTTCACTTTAAGATTATTTTAAACTTTTGGGTCAATATTAATAGTATTTATTACCACAAATAACCCTAAAAAATACCAGGCTAATAGGAATTATTTAAAGTGGTCTTAATATCGTAAAATGACTTATGAGTAACATTTACCATTAAGTAAAAATTATGACGTTAAAATTACCGTTAAATTTTCCTTTAGGTGAAATACACTTATAAGTAATTTTCTTTCGTAAAAATTACGTCCCTCATAATACTTTAACGTGTTGTTTTTAAAAAAGTTGTGCTTCAAAGTAAATTTTTAAGGTTAATTTATCAAAGTATTTACTTAAATTAAGTAATATTGCCTTAAAGCTCTACGCTTTTACTTAAAATGCTGCTTGAGCCTTTCCATCTCAAATGGACTATGCAAAAGCAAGCGTTTTTGCACAAAATTTGATTTGAATATCAAAATCTTGTGCAAATTGTTTGTTTCTTCCAAAGTTGTTTAAGGGCCTTTTTCAAATTGACCAGGCAAAAAGGGGTAGGTAGTTACGACTTTTTTTTACAGTTTCTCTACCGAAATCGATGAGACCAGTATTTTTCTTTTTGCTTAAATTTCTTTTGTTCACCCATAGAAAATTTTTGAAACATGGACAGAAACATCGATTTTTCTCTTTTAACGAGTAACATTTTTTAATGAAAATGCGATAACTTGGCCAAAAATTAGTTTGTTACAATTTTTATTTTAAATTCACTTAATTTTTTTTTAATTTTTTTTTTCAAGAAAAAAGAGAAACATTGATTTTTGTCCATTTTTCAAAAATCTCCTACCGGTGAACAAAAGAAATTTAAGCAAAAAGAAAAAATACGGATCTCATCGACTTCGGTAGAGAAACAGTACAAAAAATTTTGTTGAAAAATAACGACCTACCCCTTTTGCCTGGTCAATTTGAGATGGTAAGGCCCTTAAACAACTTTGGAAGAAACAAACGCTTTTGCACAAGATTCTGATATTCAAATCAAATTTTGTGCAAAAACGCTTGGTTTTCCAAAGTCATTTAATAAAATCGAAAACTAACTTTTAATTCTACTTTATTTTGGTTATTATCAACTTTTGCATAGAAGGAAATTTAGTTATTTATTTAGTTATATTACAAAAGTTTAAAAGTTACAGTAAAGCCTGATTTATAGATTGCCTTCCTTCCTTCCTCCCGTAAAAGATTAACAATACAAAAACCGTAGTGCACTACGATTTTCATATTGTTCATCTTTTAGGAAGGAAGGAAGAAAGGCAATCCATATAATCTGAAATAACAATATTTATGGATTTAAGTATAAAACACCACCAAAATTTAAAACATGCAAAATTTAAAAAAAAAAATTGAAAAAAACGTGCAAAAATATTAAATTAAATAGGTATAAAAACTAAAGACAACTAGTTTGAAGTAATAATAAACAAATAAATAATAATAATAAAATAAATAAATACAAGGAGTCCATGAAGTAAATTTTAGGGACACCTTGTATATTATTATTATTAAGATATCACCCAATGTAAACAAAATACTGATAAGAATTAATTAACCTTATAGGTCAATTCTGGGTTCTCTCGTAAAATTTCTGTAAATTCGTTAATAAATAGATTACGATTATCTAAATGATTTTTTAAAATATTAGATCTCTAATTTTTTTCCTGACAATATTTTCAATATTTTGCATGTAAATATTTTAAAATAAAGTTGCTAAAGTCTTCAAAATTGCTAAAAATTTTAAAATTCTTTATTTGTAAAAGGTTAATTTTTCTAAAAATGAAAACCCAAAATGATATTAAACAACATAAGAGCTCATTTCTATACCTAAAGGAAACTTTTGAGCCTGTTTGCAAGAAAAAAAACAATTTGCTTTTTTTTAAACTTAGACGCCTTTCCCACTGAAAAAAAACTAAAAAAAAAAAGTGCAAAACATCTACTTACTCTTTTAAAGAGCGCTACCTTGTTCTCCCCGCCGCTTCCGGGGGCGGGCGCGGTGGGCGTCGTCGCGTCGCCGCCGGTGGCGGGCGCGTCGGCGTTGTTGTTCAGCGCCGGCGACTTGGGCGTCGCGACGCTCGAGTTGTTGTTGATTTTCGCCGGGCCGTTGCTCTCGGGCGCCGCCGGCTGCGCCTGCTGCGCCGTCGGCGGCTGCTGCTGCTTTTTCGCCTCGACGGGCGGCGTTGGCGACGTCGGCGTCGCCGTCGCGGCGGTCTTGCCGGCGACGGCCGCCAAGCCGTCCTGATCCGGGTCGATCTTCTTGATCAGCTTGTCGCTGCTGTGGAACATCACCACCTGCTCGCCGTCGTCCAGCTCGTCCTCGTCGTTGAACCACATCTCCTCCTCCTCCTCCATCTGCCGCTGGTCGCGCCGGTACCGCGAGTTCCGCAGTATCGACGGCACGCTGCCAGAGATAATACTTTATAACACGTGCATTTCGAAATAAGACAGATACCAAGTACGGTGGTCAAAACTTAAATATAGGACGAACAAAAATGACAACCAAAACTGATAGCATCCTATTTTAAAGTTTTGCAAACCTTTTTGTTTTTCTATTTCTATATATTATTTTGCAATTATTGTACTAAAACTACCTGTACAATTTTAATAAAATTAAGCAAAATAATAAACTTTGTATCATTTAAATTACTTTACTCCCCAGTGTTAATTTATTGAGTCTCCTATTATTTTTTACCACTCAAAACAAAACATAACAAAAAAAACGAAGATTTACATCTTAAATATTTTTTATAACAAAAAATACTGGAAGTTTGTCTCTGAAATAATTACAACTTGCAAATTTTGTAAAACAATAATTAAGGTGGTTATGAAAAAAATGCTATACGTTTTAACGCAAGTGACATTTTGCTTTAGTTGTTTATTTAATGTATACTTTATAAAGTTAAAAATAGTATTTTAAAATGAAAATTAAACCGAAATTCAAGTTAAGCCATGAAGAAAATCGAAATAAGGTATGTGCTGGCTGTGGAGACAAAATTGTTTTTGGTAATCGAAAAATTCAGAGTTTAGGGTTTCTGAGAAAATATAAAAATTACTGCAGACTTTTTCAAACAAACACTTTAACTTAAGTGATTCAAAATTACCTACTTCAATATGGTAAAAACGGTATTTTTGCATAGCCACAGATGCCAAATTTTCAAAATTTAGAAATTGCCAGAGAATTTCGCGGCAGCCAAGAATGTATGTGCTTTATCTGCAAAATGGAAAGATATAAAGGGCATAAAAAATTATTAAGGGAAGGACGGACGAACGAACTAAAGTTTTGATATGCTCTTCCTTTCTAGGGGATATCGCTGAAGAATTTAAAAATACTGTTTCCATGTTAAAAACAATTCCATGTAAAACCCAAGAAAAAGTTTTACTGAAAATTTAAGGCAAGCAGTAATCGATTTTGCTTCAAAGAATCTTTAGTTATTTATTAGTTTTGTATTAGGTACCTTAAAACAATAAATAAGATATTGCAAACTGTATTTTACATTATTTTGTATTTATAATGTAATTTATCCATATTTCAGTCATGTATCTGCCAAATTTTTAAAAACATTTGATAATGATACTAGAGTATTTTATCGAAATTTGCATAAACAATTTTAAAATACTAAGAAATATGCAAAACTTTAATAAAGGATCAGCTGGGATTTTGATAAATACATTTTTGTGTCACCAAAAGAGTCTGTAATCAGATTATGCTATCAGTTTTGGTTGGCATTTTTGTTTGTCCTATACTTTAGTTTTGACCACCGTGCAAGCTAGGGTTTTAAAGTGTCGAAAAAAGAACCGCTTTTTGGATAAATTTTTTTTTTTTTTTTAATATACAGGGTGATTCACCTATTTTATTCATTAGAAGTTTATAGAGAACGGAAAAAGATATCGATTTGAAATTTGTATTGCAATAATAAGCAAATGTAAACTATTTTTTAAATTATTTTCAATGCCTTATCACTTCCAGTTAAACCGGAACCATATAAATATTATTGCATTTTGAAATTCTACGTAAAATTCAAGAAATACGAAAATTTGATTTTTTTTTATTTTTAACAGTTTTTGAGATATTTAATTTTGCAAAAGGCTTTTGAATTTTTGTGAGAATATCCGTCGCTACATTTTAAATATCCCGCGCGCCAATACTGCTACCAACGTAAGGGACTAAAATGTAACCAAGTTATGGCGTTGACAATCTATGGAAGTGACGCTAGATTTTTGTAAGGTTTACTGTGTGTGTGTAATAACATCTAGAGATAATAAACGAGTTAAGTTACCAAAGAAAAGTCATAATTATTATCCCTATAAATTACGACAGGTTATGGGCACAGGGCACACTTAACTGCGCTTCAAAAATTGTGTTTTTCTTTGGTTATTGGTGCACCACTTTAGATTAGAATAAAGGTGAGTAAGTTTACACTCATTTTCACTAGAATTTTACTATTTAGTAAATATAGATTAATAGATTCGTATTTAGATTGATAAAGATTAGTAGATAAAAACCAAAATGAACCCACAGGTTTAAAGTCAATTTTTGATTATAGAAGTATAGAGTCAATAGAGATATCGAAAATTTTGTTCGAAAATAGTCGTGCATTCCAGGGTTGGCTGTGAGGTAGTAGCTTGTGTTCGGTGAAATCAATCAGCTAACTAGAGATTTCATGTGTGTTTGCGGGTGTCCCGTACATGTGCATGATCAGCTGATTTACAGGCGGTCTCGTGTGCAGTGCTGGAGATCACATACCAAAAGTCGGCGTGCATGTGCGAGTGGTACCTGAATCATTACATGATTTTTCGTTTCGAGCCATTCTGAAAGGCAGTGCGTTTAGAATGGTTCAGAAGCACAAACAAATTTATCTTTAGTAAAAACCTGCACTATTTTAGAGTAAAATGCTTAAATAAGTAATTTGTTTCATAAACCTGGAATAGATGTCGAACAATTCGATGTCTAATAATGATGATGACTATTTTGGACTAAATAATTACTCAAAAGTTCCAAAACTAGTTGAATATGATGACAAAAGTGAGGACGAATATGAAAATTTTAAGACTGAAGTAGAAGCTTGGAGTTCTAAAGGTAAAATTTAAAAATTACTTAATTTAGAATGTTTTAAATTTAAAAGAAACTAAGAATTTAGAGAAATTAAGAGCTAAGATGTTAGAAGCAAAGGCCTATTTTTTTTTAGAGCTTAGAGAAATCTAGAGAAATATTTAATAATTTTGAATTTACAGCAAAATCTCAAGAGATGGCTGACAATCAGAATAAAATCAGAGTACTTGAGGATATACACATTCCACAAATTAACAGTAATAATTTGGTATTGCAAGAAAAATTAATTAAACGATTTGAGATTGTAGCTGATAAATTGTCAGAAGCTCTAAATTCAATTTTAGAGGTTATGAAAGGAGCAAACACGATGTTGACAAAAATCAGCGAAATCTCAAAATCAACATTAGAGACTGAGAAACTAAGACTTAAAAACATGGAAGCTCAAAAGACCCTTTCAGTTAGAGTAAATAATATTGATGATGACCAAATTAAAGCAGTTATAGATGAAATCGAGGCATCAAAAAATGGGGATAAAGAGAATAATAGTAATAATAATCCCAATTCAGAAAATCAAGATTTTTTAGACAAAAGCATGCAGGTAATTAAAACCACCATAGAGAGTGGAATTAATAATACAAAAATTAATATTAAGAGAGATTACAGACTTTCTCAAAAATCAAACTTTGAATTGTGGTTGGATTATTTGAAGTCAGAACTGCAAAGTAATGACTTACTAGATGTGATTGATGCAAATCTAGAAGCTTCTAAAGATTATTCAGAACAAACCATTCTCAAGCGAAAAGGTTTGGTTCGTGACATAATAATTAATCATTTAGACGAAAATTATCATAAGAGAATACTCAATGAAAAAGAACCGAAAGAAATTTTAAAAAGATTAAGAGTTTTCAAGAAGGGCGAAACAAACGTAACGCACACTTCAGTAAGAGCTAGATTGTACCAAATTAAAATGGGCAAAGAAGAAAGAGTGATTGATTTCTGTGAAAGATTTGATTCAATTGTCAGGGAATACGAATCAAGTGAAGATGCAGTACCCTTAACAGAACAAGAGAAAAGATCTTCTTTTTATCAAGCTGTTTCTGGGGTTATGCCCGAGTTACGTAATGTTGACTTGATAAGACGACAAACCTCTTTGAAGGAAATGAATTTAGATGAAATTAAATCTTTTATTACTCAGTTGGAAGCGGAGAAAAGATCTGAAATGAAAGAAGAACCAAAAGTGCAAAAGGTATCAAGTAACAAACAAGAGACCAAATGTCATCGCTGCAATGAATTTAATCATTGGGCAATTGATTGTCCATTGCAAGGGAGTGGAAAATGGTTTTGTTATTACTGCCAGTGCATCCGCACACATAAAGGTTCAGAATGCCATCTTGCCAAAGCAGTAAAGAGAGGAAATTTTAGAGGAAAATATAATAAGTCAAACAAAATATTCAAGAATAAGTATGAATCCGTTGAGAAAAACTATCCAAAAACTGACGATAGTGGTAAAATTTCCAAACAAAACTTTAGAGGCAAATGCAGAGGTAGAGGGGGAGTTCACCGAATCTCAAATAAAAACCAACCAACAAAACTCAACAAAGGTAAGAATAATTTAGAGTTAGATGAAAATACTATTGAATTTATTGCTGATTCTGGAGCTACTGATCACATCATTAACTCAAGCTTAATTCTAAGCGAATTTAGATGTTCTAAAAATGACTCACTCAAGACTGCAAATAAAAATCAATTGGCAGATATAAGAATAGATGGCAGGGGCAATCTATTGCTTTGCACTAGTTTATCTGATAAACATATAATCAAGTTGACTGATGTGATAGTAGCGCCGGACATATCAGAAAATCTTTTATCTCTAAGACGGTTTGCAGACGCAGGATTTAGCATTTATTTAGATGATAAGATATTAAGAGTGTACGACAAAAAGTCAAACTTTACAATTTTAGAGGGTACCTATGATAAACCAAATTGGACAATTTGTTTTATTACCAGGAAAAATAATATCGAAGAAACTGAAACCTTAGAATACAATGAGTATACCTGTAAAGCACGCATTATATCAAATTCTGAGTTCCCAGTACAATCGCAGATAAGCAATTCAAATAAGATGCTACAAGAAGGAGAACCTTTAGAGTTAGAGGAAATAGATAAATTTGAGATTGTTGGTTCTGCGATTGGGAGGGAGAATAAATTAGAGTTTAGTCACTCAGACTTTGAGGTTAGTATATTGTCAAGGAAACCAATACAAATCGATAACTTAGAGTCAATAGAAACATTAGATGGGTTATATTGCACCGATTCTTTCGAAAAGAAACCTAAAAACTTTGAGAAGATTAATGAGGCAATGCTGTGGCACGTACGGCTTGGCCATGCATCTTTAAATTATCTTAAGAAATTACAAAAATTAGAGAAAAAGCTAGAGAAAGTAAATTTCAATGAGTCAATCTTAGAGTGTGAAATCTGTATCATGGCTAAAATGGACAAACTACCTTTTACAACTAAAAGGAAAAGAGCAGAGAGACAACTTCAACTAATCCATACAGATACTATGGGTCCAATAAAACCCATATCGTATCCGGGACTAAAGAAGTTTGTGGTTGTCTTTATAGATGATTACTCAAGATTAGCTAGAGCATATACAATCAAAACTAAAGATGAGTCCGGTCAGTCATTAGAGAGATATTTAATTTCAGCCAGAAATTTACTTGGCAAAAACGAGAAAGTATGCTACATACGGAGCGACCAAGGTACAGAGTTTATGGGAGGCAAGTTTATGGAGGTTATGGAAAAAGAAAAAATAGAGAATGATCCATCACCACCTTATACACCAGAACATAACGGAGTCGCTGAAAGATTTAATCAGACAATTCAGGAGAAGGTAAGAGCATACATGTTTGATTCAGGTTTACCCAAAACAATGTGGGAATTAGCTGTTGAAGCTGCCGTGCATGCATACAACAGAACTCCTCACAAATCAATAGATTATCAGGTTCCTTTACAAATGTTTTCATCAAATGTAAATTGTCATTTCGAACAAATTAAGAGGTTTGGATGTATTGGTTACATCAAAGTACCAAAACCAAAAACAAAATTTGATGCAAGAGCAATCAAAGCAGTACTTGTAGGCTATACAAACACCGGTTACATTCTATGGCATCCGAACTCCCGAAAGTTCTTAGAATCTAGACATGTTAGATTTAATGAAAAGCTCGTTTACAAAAACGTTTTTAAATCTAACGAAAAAGAACAATTAGAGGATTTAGAAGAGTTAGAAGTTGAAACAAAAATCGATGGTTTAGACTATATGAAAGAGTTTCATGAAGGGAAACCATTGGAAATTCTAAAATCAAAAGAAAAAGGAAGACCACGTAAAAAATTATTAGATGAAAGCAAACAAAAACAAAAAGTGGTTAAAGAGCAAAGATATGAAGGACCAGTAACGAGAGGTAGAAATAAGAGGAAATCCACTTCAGATGAAGAGCAGGTCAGTATTGGATTTGCAAGGCCTATCCAGGATATAAGTTTTGCTCATTTAGTGACTTGTTCGACATCTGAATATAAGTTGGTAAAAGATGACTTAGATTACTGTCTTCTCGCTTCATTAAATAAAGATCCAATAACATATCAGGAAGCGATAAGCTGTAAAGATAAACTAAACTGGAAAAAGGCAATACTAGAGGAAATAGAGTCCTTAAATACAAATAAAGTTTGGAGATTCGTTGACAGACCAAAGGTAATGTTAGATAGAAGAAAGGCAAATGTTATAGATTCCAAATGGATATTTAAGAGAAAATTAGAAGCTGATGGCACTACGAGATTTAAAGCGAGATTGGTAATTAGAGGTTTCAAAGACAAAAGGATATATGATCTTAAAGAAACATATGCACCAGTTTCACGATTGTCCGTAGTTCGATCAGTACTCGCAACGATTAACAAATACAGTTTGTTTGCACGTCAATTAGATGTTAAAACAGCTTTTTTAAACGGTGTATTAGATGAAGAAGTCTACATGGAAATCCCTGATGGAATTATTAAATTAGACGATCGATCAAAACAAACAAAAGTTTGTAAACTAGAGAAGGCTCTTTATGGTCTTAAAATCAGTCCAAAGAAATGGAATAAAAAATTTACAGAGGAAGTGAGCAAATTTGGTTTGGAGAATGATCTGCATGAACCTTGTCTCTTTACTTGGAGAAAAGAGGGAAAATTTGTAGTACTTATTCTATATGTAGATGATATGTTAGTTGCTAGCAACAACAAAACAAAATTAGGAGAAATAATAAACCAATTGGGAAAAGTGTTCGATATGAAAGACCTTGGAGAACCCAATAGTTTTCTAGGAATGACAATTGAAAGAAATAAAGATGAAAACTACATGAAACTACACCAAGAAAATTATATTGAATCTGTTCTAGAGAAATTCAATATGAATGAGAGTAAACCTCAAAGTACACCAATGGTTACAACACAAGTAACAAAACAAAACAAAAGAAGAAAAATTGAAGAACAAAATTTAAGAGACAATGCACAAAATGAAGAGTCAACTATTTGTAAAGCTCCTTATAGAGAAGCTATAGGCAGCCTAATGTATTTAGCTAATGCAACAAGGCCTGATATAGCGTTTGCTGTAAACTATCTAGCCCGAAAACAATTAGAACCAACCGAAGATGATTGGACAAGTGTTAAAAGGATCTTTAGGTACTTAAGAGGAACATCCAACTTTGGTTTGATATATAGAGGGAAAAAGGATAATTTAGAAGCAATGACAGATGCAAGCTTTAGAGATTGTGAAGATTCAACATCCACCAGTGGATATGTGATAGGTTTATATGGTGATGTGATTGGTTGGAGAAGCCACAAACAATCATATGTAACTTTATCAACATGCCAAGCCGAATATCTGGCAATGAGTGAAGCTTGTCAAGAGTTGATCTCATTAGATAAAGGCATTAGATTTATTATAGGAAAAACGCTATTTCCAATAACAATCTGGTGTGATAACAGATCTGCTAGAGACTGCACAAAGAAAGACGGAAGTCATAAGTTGAAAATGTTCGACGATGACTTGGAAAAGATTAATAAAGATTTATTAGAGAGAGAGAAAACAGGTAATAGAAGACACATGGCTGATACGCATGGTGATTTTGTGAAATCATGTGTTGATCAAAAATTAGTTAGAGTTTTATGGATAAACACTAGAGAAAATCTTGCAGATATTATGACAAAACCGTTGCCATTAGATGCTCATAAATATCTTAGAGATAAAATATTAAATCAATCGTAGAGTTAAGAGTTCATTTACTTAAGAGTTAACACTTTATTTTGTTTAAACAGATAATACTTCAGACAAAGGCAGCAAGGATTAGTTCTGGATAAAATGAAGAGCTACAGTTTAAAATCATAAGTTTAATAATAAGTTTCATGTATGTTTATTAATGTTTTAGTTTAGAATATTTAGTTATTAGAGATGATAAAATGCTAGCGAAGGGAGGGAGTGTGAGAATATCCGTCGCTACATTTTAAATATCCCGCGCGCCAATACTGCTACCAACGTAAGGGACTAAAATGTAACCAAGTTATGGCGTTGACAATCTATGGAAGTGACGCTAGATTTTTGTAAGGTTTACTGTGTGTGTGTAATAACATCTAGAGATAATAAACGAGTTAAGTTACCAAAGAAAAGTCATAATTATTATCCCTATAAATTACGACAATTTTTTATATTAAAGTTTATAAAATGTTAAAAATTTGCAAGTTCCTAGTTACAAAAGTTTTTAAAATTGCTAGAATTTTCAAAACTGTTGAAGATTTTATTTGTAAATTCAGAACTGCCCCAAAATGGTTTATGATTTTTTTTTAATTTTAAAATTTTTTAAAATATAAATGTTTCTAAAAAAATTCTACAAAAGGCTGTTACATTTTTTATATCAAAGTTTATAAAATTCTTCCAAATTCCAAAATTACCAACATTTTTATGCTTTTGAAGTTTTTATTTGTAAATTGTATTTTTTAAAATAGGAAACCCAACATTTAAAAAAAATTAATAAGCGTTTAAAAATTTTAATGTTTCTAAAAAAATTCTTAAAAAGGCAATTGAATTTTTAATATCAACGTTTATAAATTTTACAAACTCCTAAAGTTACCAAAGTTTTCAAAATTGACCAAATTTTCTATTTTTAGAAGTACAAACAAACAACAATTTACAAATGAAAAATCCAAAATTTTTAAGAATTGTGAAAACTTTGGAAAATTAAATTGTTTTGTTTAAAAATATAAAAGATTAATAGAATTGTTAAAATTGTACAAATTTGTAATGTTTCTAAACAAAATATCCGCAAAAGGACATTTAATTTTTATATCGGTTTATAAAATTTTCAAAATCTTGGTTTCCAGTTTTTGTTTGTAAATTGTTTAATATTTCTAAAAATAAAAAACCTTTTAAAACAATTGACAAATACCTCATTCATAAATTTTTTCAAAATTTCCCAAAATTTTAATATTTAAATTATTAAAATTATCAAAATTTGCAAAATGTTCCTAAAAAAATTCTTCAAAAGGTCATCGAATTTTTGCAGTTTTCATTTGTAAATTGTTTAGTATTTCTAAAATTAGAAAACTCAACATTTTAAAACGATTGACAAGGGTTTATAAAATTCAATCTTAGAGATCTTAAAATTCTGCAACTTCTGTAGCAAACTGTTGCGGTTTAGAATATCTAACGGATCATTGATAAAGACGAAAAATAATAGTGGTCCCAGATTGGATCCCCGTGGAACACCTAATGTTGGAATAACGGGTTACAACAAAACATAACAAAAATCATTTGTTTGCGTTTTGGAAATCTGTTCGTCTGTTACGAATCGATAAAACAGAGATTGCAAGAACGCGCCACTCACCCTTCTAGGTTGTTCCGATTGTCCCTGTTGTCCTTGAGCTTGTCCTGGTGCTGATCGTAGCGCGTCTTCAGCGCCTTGAACGTCTGCACGTAGCAGAAATCGTCCAAGCGCTTGCCGTAGCTCTCCACCACGTACGTGCACAGCGTCTTGATGTCCTCGAGCTTGATGAACTCGAAGAGGTCGATGATGGCCGAGTCGAGCAGGTTGTAGCGGCCGTTGTTGAGGACGAACGCGTCGACTACGGGCGCGAACAGGTTGCCCTTGATGATGTAGCGGTTGTAGAACTCGTCCTTGAGCGCGATCAGCTTGCGCATGAAGCGCAACGCGCACAGCACGAGGAACTTGTGCGTCGACTTGACTAGCACGAGTATCCTGCGCAGCAGGTCCTTGTTCAGGATGCAGTTTTTTATGTGGTACGTGTGATGCTCGACGCAAAACGACAGCAGTTCCAGTATCAGGCCGAGCAGTTGCACGCTTCGGTAGTCGTCTTTTTGCAGCTCGTCTTGGGCAGTGTTTTCAAGTAATGGAGCTGACGAAATACATATTTATGTCATTAGGCTAAGAAGTACACGGTGCTGTTCTGAGAGGTGATTTTTGGACTTTCTGTGAAACCTAATTTTTTTTATATTCTTGTTAATTAGGTCATAACTAAAATTTTAAGAGCAAAATAAAAAAAATTTGACGGTTTGAATTGTTTTAATTGGCTGTTTATTAAAAATATTATGCACTCTTTCAATTATCCAATTAAAACTAGCGATTTAATTTAAATATTAAATATTTGCATAACTAAAAAAAAAGTTTTTACAATTTTTTTTATATATTTTACTGTTTTGTTGCAAGAAACGTTCAAACTTTTAATCTAACCTTTGACGTATAAATTTGTTCCCTTAATTTATATATCCTTAAAGGTTGCCAGGAAACTTAGATCTATTAAAAATTTATTTGACGTTTGAATTGTCATTTTCAGTATACGTATTCTATAATTTTTGTTTAGTTTTTTAAAGTGTTTTTTATAAACAAAAATGAAAGATTGTAGTAAAAGTTACGAAGAAATTCATGAAATTTAACTAAGGACCGGTTTATTCATCTTTAGTAAAGTTTATCGGGCCGATAACTTTCATGTCTCGGCAATATCTAGTATCCAAATTCGTCAAATAAATCAAAAATGAATAAATCGGCCCTAAATAAAATGTGGCACTCTTAGAATTATTGTTTAATAAATGTATACTAAACATTTAACCTTAAATTAAAACTTTAAACGTGTATTACAACAAAACAGTAAAAGATATAAAAAACGTATAGGGGGCAAAATTTGCCAAGTGTACCAGGTCAAAAAAAATTTGTCACCGATTTTGTTTAAACTTTACTTATTTGTTGTTCTTATAACGAAGAATCATAGCATAAAATTTTTTTGCTCTAGGATTGTTCATTCAAGAGTTATGGATTATTGAAATTTATCGATTTATTACTTTTTGGTGAAATCGCTTTTTATTTAAAAATTCATAACTTCTGTTCATCTCTTTATTAAATATTTTAATTTAACCAACTTAAATGATTTTTTTCGTACTTTTCAATGGGCTATAAGGTTTTTGCAACAAAAAAAAAATTGCAATTTTTTTTTGAAATTTTGCAATATTTTGCATTTTTTTTAAACAATGTGTATTTTTTAATTTTTTTTTAAATAGCATAAAATCGAAGTTTATTATATTACCTTTAAATAAAAAAAAAATTTTGAGTGGGCCCGACATGTAGAAGGGAAGTTTTTCATATTTGAATGCGTGCGGGTCTAGCCATCGAATAGCTACTACACTGCCGTATGCGTTTATACCTAGTAGATGCGAGTAAACGAATACAAAATGATAATTTAAAATGTAAAATTATGTTTGAGTAGTCAATGATATATTTTAAATATTTACACTGCCGCTATATAGTTTTTTAACTGTATTTTTTTGCACAAATTGTTTAAGCATGGGTCTACATAGATTTCGCAAGGAGGATCGATGATATTAAATAAAAAAATTATTGTTATAACCGTAACGGCTTGCCTATAAGCTGAATAGGTCAATGGCGTTAATAATATATAATGTCTATAAACTGTTTTTGCTGTCATGACGAGCTCTAAACATTCGCCGTACGGACATTACTTACTTTTTAAACCGTAACGGTCAGTCAGAATATTTGTGTTGCAAATCAGCAGATTAAAATATGATTTTTTTAATTTAATTAATTACAGATTAAAATATGATTTGTAGATTTCGTAATTCGGAGGATTTTTGGCGGATATTACTAGAATAATGTTAATTTTTATTTTTGTGGCTAAAGTAAAATACAGAAAGAATAAAGTGTTGGTGCCCTACCATACTAATTTTACATTTTAAATTATCATTTTGTATTCGTTTACTCGCATCTATTACTCTCTAAAAATGAAACAGTGGATTTTCACTGATTGACAGTGCATATTAACTATTTGCCGCAGTGATAAGTATACCACTAGCAATTAGTGAATACTCACTTTTTCATGTAGCGATTTCTTTGCACTAATTTATTTAGTGGAAATTACACTGTACAAATTAGTGAAATAGGTTTAGTTCAAAAAAGTTAAAATTTCACTATTTTATGTCGAGAGTTCCGAAAAAGTAGTGATAATAAAAAACACTAATTTGGAGAAGTTAAAATTTCACTAATTTATATTGAAAAACACTAATTTTACAGTGAATAATAATTCACTGACGGAAATAGTGAAAATTTCACTGTTTCACTTTTAGAGAGTAGGTATAAACGCATACGGCAGTGTAGTAGCTATTCGATGGCTAGACCCGCACGCATTCAAATATGAAAAAGTTCCCTTCTACATGTCGGGCCCACTCTAAATTTTTTTTTTTTCAAAGGGAACATAATAAACTTCGATTTTATGCTATTTTAAAAAAAATTAAAAAATACACATTGGTTAAAAAAATGCAATACCTATATTGCAAAATTTCAAAAAAAAATTGCAATTTTTTTTTGTTGCAAAAACGGTATAGACCATTGAAAAGTACGGAAAAAATCATTTAAGGTGATTAAATTAAAATATTTAATAAAGAGATGAACAGAAGTTATGAATTTTTAAATAAAAAGCGATTTCACCAAAAAGTAATAAATCGATAAATTTCAATAATCCATAACTCTTGAATAAACAATCCTAGAGCAAAAAAATTTTATGCTATGATTCTTCGTTATAAGAACAACAAATAAGTAAAGTTTAAACAAAATCGGTGACACAATTTTTTTCACCTGGTACACTTGGCAAATTTTGCCCCATAGACCTTTTTTAAGGAAATTAACTTATCTTTAATCTGATTTAAAAAGTTATGATAATATTTAAATAAAATCGCAAGTTTTAATTGGAGAATTGAAAGTGTGCATACATATTTTTAATAAACATCCAATTAAAACAAAATTAACCGTCAAATTTTTTTTATTTTGCTCTTAAAATTTTAGTTATGACCTAATTAACAAGAATATAAAAAAAAATTAGGTTTCACAGAAAGTCCAAAAATCACCTCTCAAAACAGCACCGTGAGTAAGGCTTTTGGTGCTAAGCTCAAGGTTTGAAGCGAAACACAAAAAGGCACTTCTTGGCCGAATGGCATACAACATTTTATCTTCAAAGCACTTTATATAGGTCAATTTAATTCAACATCAAAGCGGCCTAACCTCACTTTTTTAGAATCTCATTTATTTATTAGCTAAAGATTATATTACAATCAGTTTTGTATTGTCTGCCGAAGCAGCAGGTTGTAGACGGCGTTCCTTGGGAAGACAATATGGGACTCCCAGTACAAAAATACGCTGGTATTTATTAAATATACAAAATCTACATCAGATTGAGTAAATTACGAAAAATTCCCACAACGGATGGTTAGAATATATTCGGAAATAAGTTTGCAAGCAGACAATTGCCATGTAACGCATGGTTGAAATTAACAAAAAAAAAAGGTAAAATGGATGATATTGATTGAATATTGACAAATTGGAGGAAAAAATACTGATTAAGAAAAATATGGAAAACGAACTGGTAATTAAAACATTAAATAGAACTTTAGAAGAATACTATGGATGAATGGAAGTGTATTGAAGATAAATGTAATTAAAAAGATGTTAAAGTATGAATGGATGAATTAAGAAAAATTATTCGAAGAAAGAAAAAACGAAGATAACAGTGTACTAAAGTGATAAAAGAAAATAGACATAAAGTGATTTTAAAATAAATATATTATATAAATGATTCAAGGGATGAGTTTAACTCAGACTCTCTTGATTGAGACCCTTGTTCATATTAACTTTTTTTAAACATAATGAGCTGGCCAAATAGCTTTTAATTTAAGCTAAAGGCCATTACCCCTGAACACAGTTATCTGTGTTCAGATTTAAGAAAAAGAAGATTACATTAAATGTAAAATAATTATTCTGGCTTTTAGAAGCAGTAATAGTTTGACAATACCTAGCAACACGATTTAAGTAGAAATGGATTTTTGCTATTACATTGAATTCAATTAATTGTTTAATAAATAGGTAGGTATCTAATTTCAATTTGTTTGGATTTTTATTTAAAAAATAGGTAGTTTGGAATGTTTAAGCTGTGTTTAATTTCACTGAAAACTTAAAGCAAATTAAAACTTAAAGATAATTTAAATCGTAGAAAAAGAATCGTGCGTTTTCTGGGTTGCCTAACCTCACTTATTGTTTTATTATTCATATTTAATTTTACAATAATTTAATGAAAAATATTAATCATTAACAGTAAAACAAACAAATTAGTGCTTATTATAAATAAATTAAACCAGTTTAGTAAGTTAATTTCTTAAAAAAGGATTAATTTGTCAAAACAATACCCCTAGCGAGAAAAAATCGAACTAATTACTTGCCTCATAAAAATTTTTATTTCCACCTTCTTAGTAAATGACATTTTATAGGTTAATTTTGTTGTTTTTGTATCCAAGTAAACGATACATTATGGGAACAGACCTGTAATATTTTACGGGCTTGTATAAAAGACCTGTAAAGTTTTACAGGCCTGTAGAAAAGCAATTTATGAAATGAAATGACACATTTGACACATTAATTGAAATTTTAAATTTGAAAATCGTTATCTTAAGGTGAAAATAAAAGTTTGTACGTGTCATGCTTTGCAATTAATCTTTACTAGGCTCACTGAATTATGGGGTTCGCTCCTGCATCGCTCACCCCACAAACTCCCAGCTCGCCCGTAAAGATTCATTTACAAAGCTTGACACGTAAATAACTATTATCGGCCTAGGCCATAACAAGGTATTTCTTTATCGAATTTTGACAACAATAAAGTTTAAATTATAGACCGCGTGGAGATAAAGTATTTTATTACAAAATTAATAATAATTAAGAATCTTTTTTGAAAGCATAACCTAGTTTTGGATATAAAAGAAAATAATTCACACATAATGAAGTATCAATCAATTCTTGAATAATTTAATTATTAAGATTTTTTATTTTATTTAAGGGGGCAAGGGGAGTTTACTTAATGCATAAATGTATGGGGAATTCCACGTGAGTTCAACACGAAAAAAACCCTTGCCATTTCAAAATTCCTCGGCAATTTTTCCATGGGTTCCCTGACTCAAAATAAAAATTCAATTTTAATTTTAGCGCGGTTTATCAATTGTTTTTGAAGATGTGATTTTTTAAATTTTCAGGACTTTAACGATTTTGCCAATATATCATCGATAACTTTGATTCCGACGAACGACCAATCATTTGTCTTGTATTTTTGTTTTGTTTTTAATCTTTAACTGAATACAAGTTTTTTATCTATATTAGATCGCGGCTATCGAAAAATTAATTTTTTTTTCGAAATTTTAACTTTTAATAATTTCGATTTTTCGGACATTTTGTGGTATCAAAAATGATTTTTTTTTAATCTTTTTATATTTAGCCCTTTTAATTAATAAAATTGTTTAAAAAAAATGTAAAGAGTACTGCCTATGAATATAGTAAAATGCAGAGCTGGCAAATATCATGATATTTATATAAATATACAAATATCTAATAAACAGTTTTGACCATAATTTTTGAACCACTATAAAAAAATCTAACTCTATAACGCCTTTATTATTCTTTTGAAATTTTGAATAAAAATACTTCAACTTATATCTCAGTTTACGTGTTCGAGGGTTTTTCGGGAAAATATTTTTAAAGCCCTTATATTTAATAATGAAAAAACGTTCGAAAAATATCTTTTAGGGTAATTTTTTTTAAGTAAATAAAAAATATGCTGTTAAAGACCGTATTTTTGTTAGTATACCCTGAAAATTTTGTACAAATTAAACGAACAGTAACGAAGATAGAGAGCTTCAAAGTAGGTAAAAATGGCCCCTTCTTGATTATTTTGCTGTAAAGTGGTCATTTTTGACGACTTTGAATCGCTGTATCTTCGTTGCTGTTCATTTGATTTGTACAAAATTTTCAGGGTATACTGAAAAATTACCCTAAAGTTATTTTTCGAACGTTTTTCATTATTGAATGAAAGGGCTTTAAAAAAATTCTGATATAAGTTGTAGTATTTTTATCCAAAATTTCTTAAAGAATAATTAAGTCGTTTTAGAGTTACGATTTTTTTACAGTGGTTGCAAAAATTATAGCCAACACTGTATTTCCGGTTTATATCCGATATATATCAAAATTTGATTATTTCTTTTTTTATTATAAATATTTTCTGCTTAGAAAATTAAAGATATATGTTTAAAATTCAAAATTAGTTAATTTCATATAATTTTAAAATTTTATAAACATGTAAATTTGTTTGTTTTTCAATTCTATTCTATTCAATGAAAGTTGCTATCACAATAACAAGTTTTTTGAGTACTATAGTATGTATAGAAATGTTGTTAAAAAATACAAGTTTATGAATATATACAGTGTGATCCATTTGTTTGCGACTCATCCCTGTAAAATCTTTATTTATTTATAAACTGTATTTTTGGAGCCATATTTTTACAAAATACAATGTCTACTATGTCAGTTTTTAAGAGAAAATTTTTAAGAATTCATATTAGCGATTTTTTAAACAAAATCTAAGCACAGCACTGGATTCACCACCCCTCAAAACGACCCTATACTAAATTTTATTGAAAATTTTTAAGTAAAAAAATGTAAAATAATAACTACAAAAATTTATTCTGTCAAGTTATTTTTGAAAAAAAACATTGAAATATGGTATTATTACTTTTGCTTCAAAAATGCAGTTTATCAAAATTAATAATTATTTTAAGATTGAAAATCAATTAATTAATCATTATACAATATATGGGCAGTACTCTTTAATTTTTTTAAACAATTTTAATAGTTAAAAGGGCTAAATATAAAAAGATTAAATAGATAAACCTTATCTTGTTATCTATAAAGATTAGGACAATATTATGAATTTGTCACCAAAAATTTATAAAAATGATAATGGATCATACAATAATAAAAAAAATTAATAAATTCCCAATTGTTTAAGGATACTGAAAAAAAAAATATATTGGGTGTTACAATTTCTTCCAAAAATTGCCCCTTTTAGTTGGCATAGCTTGTACATTTTATTCATCTCAGGTGTACTTAAGACAAATAAAAATTTTAAGTGGAATTCGGAGACATCCAATATACAGGATTATATTTTAAAATTTAAAAAAAATAACTGCCAACATTTTTATATTTAAGTGTAAAATTTTTGTATTAGGTGTTTTTGTAAATTTTATTTAAACTCTCCAGACAATGTTTAAATAAATATTACCATATCAATACCCACATTATCATTTAAGTTAACAAAAAAATCAAAATTTATTCATAAATTTGCCATTAAATTTTTATTAACAGTGTAAAACCATTATGAAAGGTAATGGTTAAACAAAATGTTATTATCATTAAATTAGTCATACTTTAAACAAAACGGAGTATAGCTTTACAGTTATAAACATGAGCATTAATTTTTTTAAAGGGAATTCAGATAACTTACCTATTAAAGTATGAACACTATGTTTGTAGAAAAAGTTAAGAAAATCCGTCTTTTCAGACTTATTTACAGAGGTCAGCATGTTTTCAGGGTCCAACAGTATTCGCAGAACCCCCATTAGTTGAACAGCACCCCCCAATTCGTTGTCGGTATCGCAGATCATCTGTTCAATGACAATGTTGAGGAGCATTTGATCCTAAAACAAACACAATTTTTAGTACAAAAGTACTCTTGACCACAAATTCGCAATTTTTTTTGGGCAACACTCGCGGATTTTTGTTGAAATTTTGGTATTATCTACATCAAAATAATGACTCACATTATGCTTCCCTGGTAATGATTTTTTAAATTTAGGCGATATTTTTTTTTTAATTTTTTTGTTATTTTTTTATTAATAATGTTTTATAAAATAAAAACAGTAGGTACCTACTGTTTTTTCGTAAAATAATCTTAGCTTTTCAATGAAAATATTCATTCTTTATTATAAAAATTCAATTTTTCTGGCCTTGCAGCAATCTTTATTTGTAATTTGATATTTTTTCTGAAAGCCAAAATTTTTTTCTAATACCTATGTACCTACCTAATTCCATCTGTCAAGTTAACCCCAATTTTGTTTTAATTTTTGAAAATAATATATTATACAATATTAGACTGGGCCAAAAAAATGGACTATTTTTTTTTTTGAAAAATATATCGAGAATGTCGTTCAGAATGACAAATGAAAAATTTCGTGAAAATTTGAGCCCTTAATATTAATTTTAAGAGGTCTATCATCGCTATTTTTGATTTTTAGTCATAATTTGATGTTTTACGTTAGAACTGTCAAAACATTAAAGTGATAAAAATTCCTTTTCACTTATTTTTATATAAAATTAAATTGTCTACAAAAAAGGTCTGATTGAAAATTTTCGTCAGACGAGCCGTTTCCGAGTAATTGAGCCTAATAAATCGATGTGTTTTTTCGATTTGGCCCTTTTTACTTTGAAATTTTGTAACTAATGAATCAATGAATATTTTAAAAAGCTCACGTCGGATTCTTAAAGGAAATTTAGTGTTCTACAAAAAAGGTCTCTTAACATTTTTGCCTAAATTTAATTCTTCAAAAGTTATTCACGAAGAAAAAATTGAAATTTTAAGTTTTTCTTCGATTTTAATCGTGAATAACTTTTGAAGAATTAAATTTAGGCAAAAATGTTAAGAGACCTTTTTTGTAGAACATTAAATTTCCTTTAAGAATCCGACGTGAGCTTTTTTAATATTCATTGATTCATTAGTTACAAAATTTAGTAAAGTAAAAAGGGCAAATCGAAAAAACACATCGATTTATTGAGCTCAATTACTCGGAAACGGCTCGTCTGACGAAAATTTTCTATCAGACCTTTTTTGTAGAGAATTTAATTTTATATAAAAATAAGTGAAAAGAAATTTTTTTCACTTTAATGTTTTGACAGTTCTAACGTAAAACATCAAATTATGACTAAAAATCAAAAATAGCGATGATAGACCTCTTAAAATTAATATTAAGGGCTCAAATTTTCACGGAATATTTTTTTTGTCATTCTGAATGACATTTTCGATATATTTTTCAAAAAAAAAAATAGTCAATTTTTTTGGCCCAGTCTATACAATATACCTATAAAACAATGACATCTATGTACGTTTTTGTGACATAAACAAAAAAGTTTGAACAAAAATACGTAAAGTGTGACCCATTTGTTTTCGACTAACCCCTGTAAAATCTTTATTTATTGTGCGATTTTAACCGGATTTGTTCTAAAGTGTAGATCTTGATAAACTGTATTTTTGGAGCAAAAAAAGATATATTTCTACAAAATACAAGGCCTACTACCTATGTCAGTTTTTAAGAGAAATTTTTTAAGAATTCAGCACGGCACTGGATTCGCCACCATTCAAAACGACCCTTTACTAAATTTTATTGAAAAATTTTAAGAAGAAAAATGCACAATAATAACTACAAAAATTTATTCTGTCATGTTATCCATAAAAAACATTTAAATAAAATTAAACTTATATAGGTACTTTAGTTATAGTATACAATATAATTTACTCTTAAAACCTGACATAGTAGGCCTTGTATTTTTGTAAAAATTAATCAAGATCTACACTTTAAAACAAATCAGGTTAAAATCGCACAATAAATAAAGATTTTACAGGGGTGAGTCGCAAACAAATGGGTCACACTGTATATAATATTTTAAGAAAATAATACAAACTTGGCGTTACCTCAGTTAAGTATGTATTTAAAAAAAAATAAGTTACTTTAATATTTATCATTTAAAATACATATGTATGTCAATTTAACGATTTGGTTACACATTACCAACATTTTTATTCTGACAAATAATTTTCTAAAATTAATTTAAAAGTTTAAATTGCTATTTTATGAAATTGTTGATATTCTCATAAAAATGCATTTTGGACTATAAAACTAATTTTATAAAATAATTTGTCAAAATTTTAACTTTTGGGCTTGTACTGTTCTTAATCTCACCGATTATTGTATTTAAACAAAAAATCGTAAAAACTACATATTTTAGGGTTAAATACGGTTAAATATTTACAAAAAAAATATCAAATTAGAAATAAATATTAACACAAGGATTTTTAAAAAGACCTAGTGTTTGTATTTTTATAAAACATTATTTAAATAAGAAAAAAATACTAAAAAGTTTTTAAAAAATCGTCAAAACTCGAAAAATCATTTGGTGGGAAGACCAATATACAAGGTGTCCCTAAACTTAGTGGCATAAACTTAGGAGCAGATTAAGCAAGTCAAAATAAGACGAAAATCTAAATTAATATTTTTCCTAATTACGTATGTTTAAAAGATACAGGGTGATAAAGTGTTACTTATCATATCAGTTTTTTTAATATAACTTCTACTATATATAGTAGACTTGGAAAGGTGATATTTTGCGAACAATCACTTACTACCAAAACACATATTCACACATAATTACAATTGTTCGAGTGAACACAGTGTCGTAGAAACAGGGGTTGCTTAAGCTTATTGTCCCATACAAACTTTGAGGTTAGGTTTTTATACCATTTGATGGAATTTTTCGATTACTCAGTTCGGCTACTATTAAAAAGGTGTACCTCTCAAACTTCGATAAAATAAACCGTTTCCGAGATATTCGAGATTACAATAATTGTTAATCGCATTAAAGGACTAAAAGGTATATGCTAACAATTTTTTTAATTGAAAAAACTACAATTTTTTTTAATGTGACGGTCAGGGCAAAAAGTCCCCAGGCTCATGGAATGCCCTTTTTAGTTTTTTCAATTAAAAAATAAAATTTGTTATCATATATCTTTTAATCCTTATAAATAATGCGATATAACAACTATTGTAATCCCGAATATCTCGGAAACGGTTTATTTTATCGAAGTTTTAGAGGTACACCTTTTTAATGGTAGCCGAACTGTGTAATCGAAAAATTGCATCAAATGTTATAAAAACCTAACCTCAAAGTTTGTATGGGACAATTAGCTTAAAGCAACCCCCGTTTCTACGACACTGTGTTCACTCAAACAATTGTAATTATGTGTGAATATGTGTTTTGGTAGTAAGTGATTGTTCGCAAAATATCACCTTTCCAAGTCTACCATAGTAGAATTTATATTAAAAAAACTGATATGATAAGTAACACTTTATCACCCTGTATCTTTTAAACATACGTAATTAGGAAAAATATTTATTTAGATTTTCGTCTTATTTGGACTTGCTTAATCTGTTCCTAAATTTATGCCACTAAGTTATATTATATATAATTTGGTATACAATCTTATATGTATTTTCATAAAATTTTTAGTATTATTATTAATAATTGAATTGGTGAGTTAAAGATAAAGTCCAAAAGATAAAATTTGGACAGTTTATTTCATAAAATTAGTTTTATAGTTCTAAATGCATTTTTGTGAGAATAATTTAAGTATTTTATAAATTTTACTCTCTAAAATTATTTATATCTTCTCACAAAAATGTATTTTGAACTTTAAAATTGATTTTATAAAATGACTTCAAAATTAAATTTTTGGACATTTTATGGTACTGTTAATCTCACCAGTTCAATTATAATTATACATAGTATTAAAATATTATTTTAAATAAAATGTATATACCTACATATTTTATATAAAAATCTATATATCTATTTTAGTGTATAATAATTATAGTAATATTACTATATAGTATATACTAAAATAAATTTAAAGAAAAATTACAAAAATATATTTTTAAAGTTGTGTCAAAACTTTGTTTGCAAGGACCATATACAGAGTGTTATTAATGTCAAACCTTTACCAACTTGTTAAATATTAAAAATAATTTATTTTGGATATTTTTTGTGGTGTATAAAGTACACGCGAGTAAATAAGGGTTAAGAGAAACGTTTTTACAAAAAAAACAAACAAAAAATTATTTCTCACCTCATCTGTGTTACTGGCTTGCTGTAGGGTGTACTCCCTAACGACTGATGGGGAATATTCCACAATATAGGTGAGTATATCGATAGATGCAGTCTTTGTTTTCTGGTCATCCATGGCCAATGTTATTTCCAGTGCGGGCAGGATACCTAAGCTGGTTAGAGTTTTGTAAAACGACTCTTTAGCTTGCGGTTGCAGGTTCTGGGAGTAGTTGCAAAATTCCTTTAAAAACAGAACTAGATCGCGTCGTTTTGAATGGGGCGTGTTGTGATCGGTTAGCATGGTAAAAAGTTCAGTCAAAAACTTCTCATCCTCTTGAACTAAGACAACGATTTCAACTTTGTTAAAAAATATAAAACTGGACAGTGTCGATAGCATGTTCTCCTCGAAAACTGATGGGGTTGGAAGGACTACGTCTTGTATGTACTGAACACGAAATGTCTGATGAATTTTCGACAACAACTCTTGATTTTTGATGGGGATTGCTTCTCTGAATTTGGCTTGTTGCTTTAAGTATTCCCTGTGTCTTTTGGGGGCTGGTAATGTTGGATCGTACTCCAAACAACCCACCACATCAAAAATTAACTCATCACTAAACATCACTTCAAACAATACATTTTTATTCAACAAAAATATATTCTTAAATATGTCGTATAGATGATGCAGCCCTTCAGTGTTCTCCAGGTCCTCACACATATGAAACACAGTTATTAATTTACGTATGTAGCCCTCATTTTCTATCGCAGCGGCTAGCTTCTCCTTCCTCATGGGGGAATTCAGAGAGTTGCTGATCAACTCGCTGATTTCCTCCAACCTGCCCAACTCGCAACTGGGCAGTTCCACCGGAGGCGCGGAATCCGACATGTCATCAAACCTCTCGTCCTCCGATTCCTCCACAATGTCCTGCGTGATTTCCACGGAAGGGTCTTTCCCTTGCACCTGGCATATCTTCTCCCAGATTTCATCGCACCCAAGTTTCTCCTGAAAGCTCAAGGCTAAATCGAAGTTGTCCCCTTCAGACCACACAATCAGGGTGTCCTGCTGCTTTTGGTAAGCGGTGTCGGGCTGGATCTTCGATTCCAGCAGCAGACTGCCGTCACTCTCTGCGCGCACCAAAAGGGAAATTCCCTTCAATCTTTCCACGTACGATGAGGAAACGTGCCCCGTGCCCCTATCGTCCCACTGCCTGTCGGCGTTTAAGGCATACAACTTCACCCTTCTTCTTGTATCAGTCATGATTGTTTTATTAATTTAATCCTCTGTGTACTCGCAAATTTCCCACATTCCGTCTGTAATAAACAAACATTGCTTTATGTGTGCGCTTTTTATTCGCCGCTCAATACTAACCTGAATAACTAACTCGTAATTATTCTTCTTAGATCACAACCTTTTGTATAAAATATATTACTAATTTACTTAATCCAAACACGCTAATTTACAAACAACAATTACTTAAAATTACATGTCAGTGTCGCTAAAAACAATACGATTTGTTCGGCGTGTCAATTTAAATTCAATATGAACTTTTACAAGTGTAACATTTTTTGACTCATTTCGTAAACGGACACAACACTAATTATCGCCATATTGAATTCACAACAACGCTCAACGGGGTTCACAAGAGCGAACGCAGGGACTATGCGCATGTGACCCGGGAAATTCAAATCTTGATACTTTTACTTTGAATTTTGATAACTGTAAACATAACAACAAACACCTTTAACTTTAAAATTTAATGTGAAATTTAACATTACATTTTTATTTAATGTTTATTCACAAATACAATTCTCTTTTAACTTTTAAATACAAATTTAATATTTATATTTTTAACCAATTAAATTAAGTTTTTATTTGTTTACATAGTACCTACTCATAATAAATGTATGCTATTTTACGGCTTATATTTGACATAAAACATCTGGGGAATTTATTTAGTAATTAATGAATACATTATTTTTTTATTATTTATTAACGCAAATTATCTACAAAAATTGCGTTGAGTGACCTTAATCAATGGTATCATCAATCAATGATTTAGCCAAGCATACATTTCATTGCAGAGGCGCTAGCCGAGAAGTAGTTTTCGAGTTTATAAAACTCGGCAACCCTGTGTATTTCCTACGTCGATTAATCAAGAAGACTATGAAGTTTTTAGTATTTCCTATTGGTAGTCTTCTTGCGAATAATGACACATCTACAAATGAAACGAACAGTAACGAAAATACAGCGCTTCAAAGTCAAAAATGACCATTTTTCAGCAAAATAATCAAAAAGGGGTAATTTTTACCGACGCTGTATCTTTGTTACTGTTCGTTTAATTTGCACAAAATTTTTAGGGTAAACTAAATACGGTATTTACCACCATATTTTTAATTTACTTAAACAAATTGTCTAAAAGTTATTTTTATTATTTAATTAAAAAAATATTTTTTTAAAAAACCCTCGAAGACGTAAACTGAGATACAAGTTCAAGTATTTTTATACAAAATTTCATAAAGATTGGTAAATGCGTTTTAGAGTTAGAATTTTTTTACCTATTATGCGTTAATTTTGACGGGCAGTGTATATGGATAGCGTTTATCGAAAAAAAACCAAGCGCCAAAAACTTTTTTTGGGGTATACAAAATTATTTGCAAAATAACTCATTTTTAATGCTGCTCAAAAAATTAATAATGATTTGGGAACCCTCTTAATCCTTTTGAGAAAAGTTCCAAATGATAAACAACCTTTTGAGAATTGTTAAAAATAAGTTATTTAACAAATAATTTTACTAAGCATCGATAAGCGTTATCCATACCTATTCAAGTTCATATAATATATGAACTTGAATATGCATATATATGCAATAAACATGTTTATTAGACTGGGCCAAAAAAATCAACAATTTTTTTTTGGAAAGTATAAACTATAATTTTCATTTTTTTTTTCCTCAGCAAGTTTTTGTCTCAGAACTCCCAATCCATTGAGTTTAACAAAATTGACTCAGAAATATTTTTTTAAGAAAATTAAATTCTCTATAAAAAAGGTTAAAGTGAAATTTTCCGTCAGATAATCCATTTCCTTAAATCATGCCTTAAAAATTGGTATAGTTTTACATTTTGATCTTTTAAATTGGAATTTTGTAATTCATGTAAAAATCAGTACCCATAAAAAACCGATAAATATTCTTATGGGAAATCAAATGCTTTACAAAAAAAGCCTCTCAACATTTTTGGCTAAATTCACTCAATCAAAAGTTATTTGGTTAAAATTTCGTTTCGACTTCAAATTTAACCTTGAATAACTAACTTTTGATGGAGTGAATTTAGCCAAAAATGATAAAAGATTTTTTTGTAGAGCATTTGATTTCCAATAAGAATATTTATCGGTTTTTTTCCGGGTACTGATTTTTACATGAATTACAAAATTCCAAAGTTAAAAGATCAAATTGTAAAACTATATAAATTTTTAAGGCATGATTGTAAGAAAACGGTTCATCTGACGGGAAATTTCAATCAAACCTTTTTTGTAGAGCATTCAATTTTCTTCAAAAAATAGTCCTAAGTCAAATTTGTTAAACTCAATGGTTTGGGAGTTCTGAGACAAAAACTCGCTCAGGAAAAAAAAATCTAAAATTGCGATGATAGACCTCTTAATATTAATATTATGGACTATTATAAATTTGGTGTGGGTCCCATGTCTAATAATTGATATATTGGTATACATAAAATCCACCAGCCGCCACTTAAATTAAAATAAACAATTGATTGTTTAAATTAATGTAATAAAAAGAATATACCTAATTAATAAACTGTATTTAAACATAAAAACAAAACTATTACAAATCTAAAATTGTGCTTAATATTTTGAGTGTTGTTTATGGTTTCTAGAACGCATCTACGATCATCGCTACAATTTCCGACATATCCATTTTGTAAACAGTACCCTCCCCTTTGCGTTTCCCTAAAAAACAAACCAACGCAAGTAGAATTTTCGCAAAATAGTTTTTTGGTTCCATGTAAGACATTTGGGTTGGTTTTATTAAACTTTTTTCGAACCTCTTCTATCAGTGTTTTATTATTTTTCAACATTTTTTCGGTTATTGAAAGTGACGGTGAGCATTTTCCGTTTTTAAAGCAGCATATCCCGCATTTATCTTGCAAATTTGGTGGACAAGAACATTCTTTTAGGTTTATTCTGTAACATTCTTCACTGTGACAATAATCGTCCACGCAGATACCCTGTATTCCACATGGACAAGTTGTTTGGTTATTGGAACAAGGACATATATTATTCTGGATTATTTTGCAATCCTTAAATAGGATTTTATTAACAAGGACGAGTAGTAAATACGAAAAACTTACCAAGCCTTCACTACTCAAATCTTTTAAGGTGCAGTCTTTTGAGCAACATAACCCTTGAGATGGATCACATTCTCCCTTAATTGTACAAGAATTTTCGCCCAAACCCATTGGCGTACAGCATTTGTTTCGACTGCAAAGTCGTGCTGAACCACAGTCACATTGTTCTCCTTTTTCCACGATTCCTAACTCAAAGAGAAATTGATGCAATTTTTTATTGCAAAAATACAAATCGCTATATATTTTGGATATATGGGTGAATCTCACGAAATGTACCCCGATGGTGTTACCCCATGATATTTAATAAAACTAAATGAGTTTTGATGTTTTGAAAGTATAAAACCTATCTTCCGTGACTGTTACTCTTTCTAGGTTAACCTATATGTTTTCAAATATCTGAGGTAATAAAAGCATACTAAAAATATCACTTCATTAAGTAAATCAAACACATCCAAAGCAATCGAATCAAATATAAAATATTATTAAAAATTAAAAGAAATTATTTTTATAACCATTTATGTGGTGTTACAAAAATTGATTCTATCCTCCGTGAATCTGTTTTTGCTTTAAATTTTATGCAACGGATGGCGCTTTAATCATTTTAAATAAGCAAAAACCTCTGTTTACGACATTATAGATGCATGTGATTCCTGAAGGTCAGTTAGAATTTATATGCAGATGAGAGTGTTGCTGTTTTATAATACAAAAGTTTAAGTTCATTAATTTGCTATTTAAAAACCTATCCACCGTGAAGTGTAATATCTCAGTAAGTAGATTTTTTTATAAATATGTTATGTATGTACAATTGTATTTTTTTTAAATATTAAGGTGTCAAAAGATACAATAACTTATTTTAAATATACAAAGGGATGTTTAAAAAAAAACATACAAAATCCTAACCTCCGTGAAGCTCTAATATTGAAAATATACAAAAATTGATTCTATCCTCCGTGAATCTGTTTTTGCTTTATATTTTATGCAACGGATGGCGCTTTAACCTTTTTAAATCACATACTTCCTGTGGAAGTATGTGTTTTAAATAAGCAAAAGTCTCTGTTTATACGACATTATAGATGCATGTGATTCCTGAAGGTCAGTTAGAATTTATTTGCAGATAAGAGTGTTGCTGTTTTATAATTCAAAAGTTTAAGTTCATTAATTTGCTATTTAAAAACCTATCCACCGTGAAGTGTAATATCTCAGTAAGTAGATTTTTTTTATAAATATTTTATGTATGTACAATTATTGTATTTTTAAAAAATATTAAGTTTTCAAAAGATACAATAACTTATTTCAAATATACAAAGGGATGTTAAAAAAATCATACGAAATCCTAACCTCCGTGAAGCTATCTTCCGGGAAGCTCTAATATATTCAAAATGTATGATTTCTTAAAATTCCTGCATTAGTGCAGAACCACTTATGTTATGTTATTACTAGACCTGGTGGCTTCCCAAAAACTCCATTCTAGACTAACAGTGAAACAACCAAAAATAATAATAATAATATATTCACCCATATATATGGGGCGCCGTTTAATTTTTTATTTAGGAATTATTCTTATGTGTTGGTAACACTAAAGTGATATTTTCAATTAGATAAAAAAATCATATAAGAATTTAAAAATTAAATCCAACTTTAAAATATCTGCTAAGAAATGATTGCAGAATAAAAATTCTTGTGATATTTTTTATCTAATTATTACTCTAGTGATAACACATCCAAATAATTTCTGAATAATAAATTTTTGGTTCCAAAAACCATTACCAAAGTGGTGATAACTTTAAATTAGGTAAGTATACTAAACAGCTACTTTAATTTTAAAAAAATAATTTTAACTTTTAAATAGCAACTTCATTCTTTCCTTAAATGGTTACTATAAAGTAATAAACATTTAAGTAAAACTTGGTTGTGCCCAAGAAGACTTTGCAACTTTAAAAAAGGTGTTTTATAAGTAAAAAAAAACTTTCAAGTAAATTTAATTTGTAGCAGTTACTTTTGGTGGCTACCTAAAGATTACATATGTAATATTATAATTATTTTACTTTTACTTTTACCTTTAAAAGTTAAAATCTCGAAACTGGAACATGATGAAGCGCATTTATTTTACAAAAACAAAATTCATAAGTTCAACTGTAAAATTTAAAGGGTTTATAAATTTACTTGCCTAATTAAACATTATTTTGTTATTCTGGAAGTTATAAACTACCAGTACATATTTAATAAACGACGACATTGAAAAGCCAAGTCCGTGGTAGTTCCATTTAAAAAAGGAGGGATAGTATAATCTAATATAAGTTTGACAAAGACAGTTAACAAATAAATAAAAGTAATTATAACGCTCTAGCAACGATATTGAAACGTTCTAGTAACGTAGCAGCTACGTTCCAAATAGTAGCAGGGTTTATAGATATATCACTATAGTGACATATTTGCTACCTTTTTGGAACTCAATAATTGTTCCCCACTTTAGTCGTAACTTAGTAATGAAAGAGTAATATAAAGAGACCGGCGATTGTCGCAAAACACTTTAAAGTTTCTTCAATAGTCCCATATACGTAACAAATACTTAAATTGTTGCGTTTAAAAATCCATAGATTCCAGTAAATTTAATTGCAAAACTATTTGATAGTGAAGAAATAAATTTAGCATTTAATTTACCATTTCCACAGAAAGGCTCTTTTTCCGGAGTTAGACAGAATCCCTTGCTGATGATAGTACTAAACATTCTATCCTTGCTACATCTAGAAAACATGTAATGGGTGTCCATTGAACCATCTTGTGTAGTTGGATTCATTATATGACCACTGCATTCACCGAAATCGTGCATAGCACCAAAACTGTGCCCTATTTCGTGGGTTAGGGCCAGGTCCAGAGTTACGTTGGTTTGACCGCCTGGTGCGGTTATTAAAAGAGCGTTACTACCTCTTGTGCGTTTTTTTCCGTAATAAAACATTTTTTCGCAAATACCGCCTTCCACTAATTCAAATTGTTTAGCATTCGGCGAGCTAGTATAACTTACACCAAGAACATTGCCAACAAAAGTTTGAGAGGTAAAAAGTATCCCCAAACATACTTCTCCAATAAATTGGTAGTGCGAGAAAGCCGTTATAAAGTTTTCATTTTGAACATGTTCTTTTTTATACTCTGGTAACAGGTTGAAGGTTTTTTTGCTTTGAATCGCGATTATTTGCCTTATTTTGAAACCAATATTGTCGGGGATTCCATCATCGTCAAAATCCGTAGATCGGAAAATATTGTTTGCAAATAAAATGGCATCTTTAACTCGGTTAACAGCACTGTTTAAGTCGCCCTTGTGAATCAAGCATAAATATGAATAGTCCAAGACAAGGGCTAGGGAACAAATTCTCCTAAAAAAGAGATACGTGTACTACGATGCCATCTAGCCTCTAAAAGATAAAAACTGACCCTGCTCCAATAAATTGTCTAAAAAATTGTTTCTCTTTGTTTTCATAAATAGCGCTGCCTCTCTTAACTTTCGGTTTATTCGTATTTTGTTCGTTTGGGTGCATTTCAGTGAAAACGATAGCATTTAAGGAATCGTCATCTATATTATACTCCGAATAATATTCTCGTTTTTCTATTAAATATGATTTAAAATCAACCCTCAACTTTCCATAAAAATTTCCTGCATTAAAGTATCCATTTGCCAAAGCTAAAGGATTCGACAAATCATATCCTTCCAAAAGTTCCAGGTTATACCCTGCTTGATAGGAATTGTTTTTATAAATTAAAAGGTTAAAGTCTTCGGTTATTATTTCTTTTGGCAACTTTTCCGTAAGCTTTAATATTAGTTGGAATGATGTTGAATGGTTCACCTTCAAATTTAAATAGTAAGTGTTGCTGTTGATTTTATTCAAAGTTGTGGAAGTAGGGTAAAAATCACCACATTTTACATACACAAATGCTGAAATGATAAACCAAACTTGGGTTAACATTATTGTCATTTTTTGAAGTTTTTAAAACAATGCAATACTTCAAGCTCTGACAAAATCGGCAGAAAGGCAAAACTTAGCGGAAAAAAATTACTACTGACATAAGTCTGTTTATTAGGTAATAAATGGAATTCATAATATTCAAATAAATAAAAATAGAAAATATTTAAAATTAAAATATATATTTTTTTTAAGTTTACTTGATTTTCATTGTAGATTGTCTCCAGTGGGTTTTTGCCATAACACATTCATAAAACTATAGGAATTACACTGGGCGTCATTTTTTAAAAATTTGTGAGGGTTAGCTAACCTAGGTCAAGAAAACAATGAAATAAAAAGCAAGTAAATTTTTTAAAGTTTTTTTAAAATGTCAAAATTATAAAACCTGGATATTTTAATGAATTGATTGATTAAAATAACTCCAAATAGAACATGCAATTAATATAAATTTTATCTTGTGTGTTAAATTCTATACAACTTCTTGCTCAGTTTCTGAGACTTCAATAACTTTTTCTGAGTTTGCAATTTCGCTGGAATTTTCCTTCTCGGTTTCCTTGGAATTATCTTTTTGTGCACTTTCGGACTCTGTTAGGGCTTGTTCCTCCAGGAGATCCATGAACGTTCTTCTAGATTCTAAAACATGATGAATATTTTTAAAATATTCAACAATGTTTTTATTTACTTACTTGGAGGGGCCCATAACACACCGACTTGAGACTCAGTTAAATCCTTACACTCCTCCCTAAATTTGGCAACTGTGTCAGTAAAGCCCTCCCAAAAGTCTTTTTCTTGAAATTCGGGAAATAGTTTCTACAATAAAATGATTAACTCCCTTCAAAAAAAAAAGTTAAATTTACCATGAGCATCTTAAAAACTTCTTCCGCCTTCTTTCTAACCATCTCTGCATCCTTTTGGAATTTCTCCAAGGACTCCTCAGAAAGATTCCATTCTTTAATATTCCCGTAGTAGATTTTCAACCTCTTGACCATTTCCAGCACATGATAATGTTTGAGGAGCATAATGCGGTCGACATGTCTGAGTTTCAACATATCCTCTAAGTAAACTAAAGCCTTTTCGGGATCCGCTGTATCCAAACCTAACGTCAGTTTAATATCCTTTTCCAACACAACCAATTTGGCTTCATCCTTTAATACAACAAGCCTTTTTTGCTTCAGTTCCACCTCCTTGTCATTTAATATTTCATTAATTTGTTCTTCTGTGGTATTCAAGTCTTGAATGATATAATCTTCAGTTGGAGCTTTGTCCAGTTTGGAAATTTCCTCGCTTTTTTTTAGCACAGATTCAGACTGTTCTTTATCAAACATAGCTCTCTGATACACACCTTTGAATTTCAGTGGTTTTGGGATTTGTGTTAAATTTACAAGAAAAAGTACAAAGCAATGTGTTGTAATAAAAACCTGTATAAGTAAAACATAAAATTTTTATTTTATAAACGGTTTATTGGGTAATAAATAGAATCAATAATATTTAAATAAATAAAAAAAATATTAAACAAAATAGAAAATATTTATAAAATATATATTTACAAATAAGTTCACTTGATTTTCTTGGTAGATTGCCCCCTAGCCACAACTAAGAAAACTTTGCACTTATTAATTTCTTTTATTCGCAATTGCCCCAATTTCGACCTTATCAATTAAACCCTTTTACTAAATTTTTTGGCAGTAGGTTTTTTGTCTGTAATACGAGTTTTTTGTTAAAGTTCCATTAACTTGATAAGGCCATTGCAAGACCTTATCACAAAAGCCTATTAAAACATTCCTGGAAAGGCCCAGTATTAAGCCATGAAACTATGTAATGGGCCATTACATAATCAAACTTATGTGTTGGCTAGGTTAGGTCAAAAAATATATAAGAGGAAAACAATGAAATAAAAAGCAAGTTAATTTTTTAAAGTTTTTTTAAAATGTCAAAATTATAAAACACATGGATATTTTAATGAATTGATTGATTAAAATAACTCCAAATAGAACATGCAATTAATATAAATTTTATCTTGTGTGTTAAATTCTATACAACTTCTTGCTCAGTTTCTGAGACTTCAATAACTTTTTCTGAGTTTGCAATTTCGCTGGAATTTTCCTTCTCGGTTTCCTTGGAATTATCTTTTTGCGCACTTTCGGACTCTGTTAGGGCTTGTTCCTCCAGGAGATCCATGAATGTTCTTCTAGATTCTAAAACATGATGAATATTTTTAAAATATTCAACAATGTTTTTATTTACTTACTTGGAGGGGCCCATAACACACCGACTTGAGACTCAGTTAAATCCTTACACTCCTCCCTAAATTTGGCAACTGTGTCGGTAAAGCCCTCCCAAAAGTCTTTTTCTTGAAATTCGGGAAATAGTTTCTACAAAAAAAATGATTAACTTCCTTCAAAAAAATAAGTTAAATTTACCATGAGCATCTTAAAAACTTCTTCCGCCTTCTTCCTAACCATCTCCGCATCCTTTTGGAATTTTTCCAAGGACTCCTCAGAAAGATTCAATTCTTTAATATTCCCGTAGTAGATTTTCAACCTTTTGACCATTTCGAGCACATGATAATGTTTGAGGAGCATAATGCGGTCGACATGTCTGAGTTTCAACATATCCTCTAAGTAAACTAAAGCCTTTTCGGGATCCGCTGTATCTAAACCTAACGTCAGTTTAATATCCTTTTCCAAAACAACCAATTTGGCTTTATTCTTTAATACGACGAGCCTTTTTTGCTTCAGTTCCACCTCCTTGTCATTTAATATTTCATTAATTTGTTCTTCTGTGGTATTCAAGTCTTGAATGATATAGTCTTCAGTTAGAGCTTTGTCCAGTTTGGAAATTTCCTCGCTTTTCTTTAGCACAGATTCAGACAGTTCTTTATCAAACATAGCTCTGTGATACTTACCTTTGCATTTCTGAGGTTTTGGGATTTGTGTTAAATTTACAAGAAAAATACTAAGCAATGTGTTGTAATAAAAACCTGTATAAATTAAATATAACATTTTTATTTTATAAACTGTTTATTAGGTAATAAATGGAATCAATAATATTTAAATAAATAAAAAAATCCTTAAACAAAATAGAAAATATTTAAAATTAAAATATATATTTACAAATAAGTTCACTTGATTTTCTTTGTAGATTGCCCCCTATAACTAAGAAAACTTTGCCATTATTAATTCCTTTTATTCGCAATTGCCCCAATTTTGACCTTATCAATTAAACCTTTTTACTAAATTTTTTGGCAGTAGGTTTTTTGTCTGTAATAAGAGTTTTTTTTAAAGTCCCATTAACTTGATAAGGCCATTGCAAGACCTTATCACAAAAGCCTATTAAAACATTCCTGGAAAGGCCCAGTATTAAGCCATGAAACTATGTAATGGGCCATTACATAATCAAACTTATGTTTTTGCTAGGTTAGGTCAACAAATAAATAAGAGGAAAACAATGAAATAAAAAGCAAGTTAATTTTTTAAAGTTTTTTTAAAATGTCAAAATTATAAAACACATGGATATTTTAATGAATTGATTGATTAAAATAATTCCACATAGAACATGCAATTAATATAAATTTTATCTTGTGTGTTAAATTCTATACAACTTCTTGCTCAGTTTCTGAGACTTCAATAACTTTTTCTGAGTTTGCAATTTCGCTGGAATTTTCCTTTTCGGTTTCCTTGGAATTATCTCTTTGCGCACTTTCGGACTCTGTTAGGGCTTGTTCCTCCAGGAGATCCATGAACGTTCTTCTAGATTCTAAAACATGATGAATATTTTTAAAATATTCAACAATGTTTTTATTTACTTACTTGGAGGGGCCCATAACACACCGACTTGAGACTCAGTTAAATCCTTACACTCCTCCCTAAATTTGGCAACTGTGTCGGTAAAGCCCTCCCAAAAGTCTTTTTCTTGAAATTCGGGAAATAGTTTCTACAAAAAAATGATTAACTCCCTTCAAAATAATAAGTTAAATTTACCATGAGCATCTTAAAAACTTCTTCCGCCTTCTTCCTAACCATCTCTGCATCCTTTTGGAATTTCTCCAAGGACTCCTCAGAAAGATTCCATTCTTTAATATTCCCGTAGTAGATTTTCAACCTTTTGACCATTTCCAGCACATGATAATGTTTGAGGAGCATAATGCGGTCGACATGTCTGAGTTTCAACATATCCTCTAAGTAAACTAAAGCTTTTTCGGGATCCGCTGTATCCAAACCTAACGTCAGTTTAATATCCTTTTCCAACACTACCAATTTGGCTTCATCCTTTAATACGACGAGCCTTTTTTGCTTCAGTTCCACCTCCTTGTCATTTAATATTTCATTAATTTGTTCTTCTGTGGTATTCAAGTCTTGAATGATATAATCTTCAGTTGGAGCTTTGTCCAGTTTGGAAATTTCCTCGCTTTTCTTTAGCACAGCTTCAGACAGTTCTTTGTCAAACATAGCTCTCTGATACTCACCTTTGAATTTCTGAGGTTTTGGGATTTGTGTTAACTTTATACCGGCATATTTACCGGTGGTTAATTTTACCGGCAACACGCTCTTTTTGTAGTCTATCAGAGGTTGATCTACCGATATTTTTGCGTAGTATTTTTCTTCAGCTTTAACATGCTCGGCCTAAAGAAATAAATGGTTATATTTATCTACTATGTAAATTACAAAAAAACTTACAAATAATATATTATTTTTAAGACTTTTTTCTGTAGTCAGAATATAATTGTGTATATTAAATTCCTCTTTTGCAACCTCTTCCACTTTATTTTTTGTTTTACTGGGTTTGGGTTTTTCAGCATTTGCGTTGATTTCCTCACTAAAAAAATTGCATTATTAAAATAATTATGAACATTCCATAAATTACGTTTTATCTTCTTTGGAAGAATCATCTTTTTTAGCTTCTTCTGGAATGTTTTCAGCCATTTCAACATCTTCAACTTCCTGGACTTCTTTTTCTTCAGTGGCTGTTTTATTAGCTTCAGCATTTTCAACTGTTTCTTCATTGGTTGTTGTATTGGTTTCATCATTTTCATCAACTGTGGTATCAGTTTTTTCATCGGATTTTAAAGTTTCTTCTGCTGCTTCAGTGCTTAAATTAATTATTATGAAGTTATACTCTAAATCTTAAATATATGTCAATTATTGGGTTCTTAATTATAAACATTTAATACATACCTTTCTTCTTTTTCTTCAGTTGCTTTCTTTTTTGGAGATTTTACTGTAAAATTATGATATTACATAAATAATCATAAAATGTTTAGGTATAATTTTTTAAATAAATAATTTGGGGATTTGCAATAACAAAAACGTTATTTTCAAAGATAAGAAAACGTCAACATAACTATACTTTTTAGAGCAATTCTTATACAGAGTTTAAAATTTCCGGAAAAATTGAGCCGACGAAAAAAAAACGTTTTTTTCGAAAATAAAACTTTTAATTTTATACGAAAAAAATGCAAAAGAAATTTTTACGTGTACTGATATCGAGAAAAAAGTGAATTTCCGACGCTGATTATAATCATATAATATTGTGATTATAATAATTATTGCTTTTATTTTAATTCAGTAAAAATATTCTACCGGGCCCCAAAAAAAACATATTTGGTGCTATATTATAACTATCGTTTTATTTCACACATCGATTTATAAAATTATAATTTTGTAATTTAACTTAATAAATCATTCATTATTTTTTAATTGGATATTTTGCAAAAAGGGTTAACGTTATTTTCTTAATGTTTAATTTCATTTATTTTTTTCTGTGATAAAGAATTTTTTGTTAATTAAAATAAAGTTAAACAATTTTTAATTTTTCCTAAAAAGGACAACGAAAAAAACCGTTTTTCCCCCAATTTTTCCGGTTATTTTTCGACACTTTAAAACCCTATACAAAGCACGGTTTGCCTGATTTAAATCACGATTTAAATCAACGATTTAAATTAAGTGATTTTTTATTTTAATCAATGATTTAAAAAAAGTTTCTAAAATCTATAAAAACACTTAAACGATCTAAAACTAAAGCACAATAAATTTTGACACTATTTAAATAAATTCATATGCATAGAAAAACTGCTTATTTTGTTAAATAAAATTATAAAGGAATGTACAAAATATATGAAAGTTGCGAACGGTGTTTTTTTGTTTGTAAAGTAGTGCTAATATAATATTATTATAGTCAAGTTATTTTTAGTATTTTTTTAATAGTACATTCTATTAAAAAAGCTTATAATTTTGAATATTTTAGGTCATGAAAAGTGTTGCCTCCCTGGGAAATTTTTTAAAAAGGTTAAAAAGGTGTGTGTAGTCTTGAAAATTTTAAAATGGAAGCCCATGTCCACACCACAATATTTAAAATTAAAAAAATCGTATTAAAAATTAAAAATTTTTATTTTTAAATCATGATTTTTTAGAACTCTGCTACAGAGTGGCTTAAACAATTTTATATTTAATTTGGAAATATAACTTTTTAACAAGATTTTTTTTGATTTTGTGGCAAAACTAAATTATATGTTTGTTTGGGAAACAAGAAAAAAACATCAACATAATTACAAATAAGAATTTAAAAACTTACCTGGTGTACTTTCTGCAGTAACATTTGCTTTTTTGGACTTGGTTTCTGTTAAACTACTATCAGAACCACTTCTTTTTCGCTTCCCTTTCTTTATACTATCGGTAAGTTTTTCACTCTCTTCCAATGTCTAAAAATAAGGCAAATTAAAAATCTTCACTTTTAAATGACTATTGACTGCCTACAGTGTTAACTGCACTGATATTTAAATCATCTGAATTGCTTTCACCATCACCACCATCATTTTTAATGGCTTCTTCAATTTCTGCCATGGCATCATTGTAATCTTTACGTTTCAGCACTTTCTTGAGAGTATTTTTGCTTTTAATAAAATAAAACAGGTCTTCTGCTTTGATGGTCCCTCTAAAAAAATGTTATTACTCTTGGTTCAATTTAAATTTCTAAAAATAAAAATGTGTGTGGAGTTATCGCACAATCCTTTTAAACTTAATAAAGGTTTGTCGGCTAAGTCCTTCTAATATAGGGTCGTGTGCATAATCTACCAGAAATACTTTAAAATATCCTTGGTGTACTGCTAACCCAATAAAAACAATAATTATTACAAAAACACTCACATTTCCCCGGTACCATAAAACTTGACATTATACTTCTTTCCATTTTCTGATTGTATCTGAAATTTGACTGGTAATGCAAACTATCAACATAATTAACAAAATTTACTTACAGAGGCCGGCCAAGGGGGATATCCTTTAACTTTGGCAAAAACTTTGTCGCCAGGTTTGAACGAAATTGCCTTTTTCATTTTATCAACGTAACCTAAAAAAATGCCGATTAAAATTCAGTTATTTTTACATTTTTTGCAACAACATGTAAGGGGTAATTTAAGGATATATCGTACTTTTTTAAATAATCAAAATAAAACAAACTCAAGGCAGTATGGCGCCTTATTTTTCTAAAAATGCAGCTAAAATTGACGCCAACCTAAGCAATACGGAGTTACACATACCAACTTAAGAAAAATAAATAAATGTAATAATAGTTGCATACCTTTTACCAAAATTGTATTTTTTAATATAATATAATAATATAATATATAATTATAATGTTTTATTTACTAATTGTGATAAAACCAAATAATATTTCTGGGAAAACTGGAAACTACTAATATTTTTTAAATTAATTACTGCGCATTTTTGTGAAAACAAAATATTGAGGACATTAAAATCCACATTGTGTGGATTGTGAAAATTATTTTTTCTACTCCCACCTTTAAAACGCCCTTTATCCTACATGTTTCCATGACACTAAGTGACCTTTTAAATACACATTGACAAGTTGTGGCTTTACGGCGCTTTAGTCACGGGCTGAAGTTAGCAACAGGTTTTTAGTCACGGGCTGAAGTTGGTTTTAAGTTAGTTGACAGTTGTCAAATGTCATACAATAGTTAAAATAAAGTGCCTTTCTTGTAAAATAATACTAAATGTGAAAATTATTTTATTATCTCAACACAAAAATATAAAAATATTAAATAGTTTCTCAACGCCAATATTTGAAAAGTTTATATGAACATTGTACTGACCTTTTAATTTCGCCGGCAGTAAACTATAACTTAAATTCGGCACGGACTCTACTGTAAAGTTCCATAAAACATTTCCTTTACTTTCACTGTGAAAAACTGTCAATTTTCAAGATACATTTCGATTTATAACCTTTATAATTGTGTTCATAAAATGTAAAAATGTGACATTTGACAGTTTCCCCTGTTGTTTCATAGATGGCGCTCTATACAAATTTTTGATTTAAATCATTTTAAGATAATAATAAGGTATTTGTAGAAAAAATATAGTATGCACCTGGTTTATAAACTTTTCTATACACTCATTAACTTAAGCACTCGCTCGCAAGCTTCGTGTATAAAATGGCGTTTATCAAACTTGATACATAATATACTATTAATATAGGTACTAAACATTATGTAATTTATAATAATGTTAAAAGTCTGCATTTTATTTTTGCAAATTGTTTTATGACTGGTAATTTATAAATATTAATTAATTATTAGGTAAAAACACTTTATAAATGTGCTTATTTACTCCTATTGCAAAATATTGGATTTTGTTTGTGAATAATAATAAACATTATAAATAAGTACCCTGCATAACAACGGGAATAATAAATCATTATTCACGTTGTTAGGCATCAGCGATTGGCCGATTTCAATATTCACTGTGATTTGAACCAATCAGGTTTTAAATTGGGAGAAGGCGACTAACATTTAAAAGTGGTAAAAGTGGTAAAAAGTGGGGTTAACCACTTGACAGATGTCAGATTTAATTAATTAATTTTTGAAAATCGCATTTAAATATCTAACTATTGGAGTAGATAAAGTATAGTATTACACTCGAGATTATAAAATTTGATTTAAGTGTTGTTATTAAAAACAGTTAGGCAGTAATCTGTCACCTTAAATTTAATAAATGATGCCTCCTTTTTCACTAAAAAATATAGGTAAAACACTTTGACCTTTCCTAAAGCGCAACCTTGTTTATAAATTAATATAAACCCATTAGCTGTTGATTTCGTTCACAATCCGTCCATGTACAAACTACCAAACTGCGTCCCTGGAACAAAATAAAAACAGAATTATTGAATACCAGTTTTAGTTTTAAAAGTGAGTCCATTATGTGCAAAATGAACACTTCCCTGCTCTGGACGAGCTTTCTTATTTTAGTTTTGAGTCAATTTGAAGAATCTTCAGCGTCTACTTTAACAAGGGTGGCGAGAGAAACTAAATACACCACTAGATTTGATAATATTGATGTTGATGCGGTCCTAAAAAGCTCGAGGTTGCTGCTCAGTTATGTTAAATGTTTGCTGGATAAGGGTCCATGCACTGTTGAAGGAAAAGAACTAAAAAGTAAGTTAAATCTTTAAATAAATAATATATAGGGTTGACATTTAACTTGAAACTGAAATATCTCAGTAAGTATGCAATTTACGAAAAAATGTTTAAAATAAAAATTAAATTTTTCGAGGGGGGAAATCAATCAGTACTAAAATTGTTCTTCATACTCTCCTCCTTATAGGGGGAACAGGGGGTAACTTTAAAATTTCCAATGGAACACCCTATTATTTATTGGAGATTCGGATCATTCGACTAAAAATATGTAGATTTTGTAATGAAAAAAATTAATTTTGTTAGATTTTTCTTCTGTATAGAGTCATTCCAAATAAAAACACCTGCGCGGGGGTGCGCTGCTTGATTTTTTATTTTAATAAAAAAAAATTGACGATGATCTTTTAGGTATCAAATATGAAAATCCGTTGCCGTTTTAATTTTTGGATTCTCTACTTTTAATCGGCACCCTTTAAAAATCTAAAGTCATGTCAATTTCTTACTCTCTTATATTGGGCCAGAACTTTGTTTCTGTGACAAATATTGAAATGATTTTAATTTTGTTTTACTGTTCAGTAAGTGTGTTTTCGATATAAATTATTATTATCCAATTAGTTAATCTCATAAAAGAATGGTAAACCACTAAAGATTCATGATAATTAGCCAATTTTTTGATTTTTGTCTGGCTCCTATGCCTATTCTTCTAAATTTAGAAAGTTGCTTTTTTTCAGGTATCAGGTACTTATAGGTTTCCAGACCATCATTTTCTTTATTATAATTATAAAAAAATTATTGAAACTTGATAATTCTTAAAATTAGTCAATTTTACCCTCAGAAATCATTATGTTGAGGAAAAAATAAAAATCTGAAACTTTCAGGAAATGTAGTCCCCACCTTCATCTTTTCAGTCCAGTTAGTCATGTTTTGTTATTTTTATTCCTTTAAAAGATATATTAATTTTTTTAATGCCCGTTTAGTAGCGATATAATATTGTTTTATTTATAATTTAAAATTTAGATGGCTTTCATGTTTGGTGGAGAAGTGTCAGAACTGTCAAAAATATTTCATTATTATAATATTTAAATATTATTTGTGCGTATTTCTTTGGTAAATTTTGTATATAACATAATATGTCAACTTGACAACTTGACATTGTCAAGAAGAGAAATCGAACAAAATTGATTTTTTTCATTACAGCGCCATCTATTACAAATATGAAAAAATGTTTTAGACAAATCTAAAAAAATAGGGTGTTCTATTGGAAATTTTAAAGTTACCCCCTGTTCCCCCTATAAGGGGGAGAGAATGAGGACCAATTTTAGTACTGATTGATTTCCCCCTCGAATCATTTAATTTTAATTTTAAACATTTTTTCGTAAAATGCATACTAACTGAGTTATTTCAAAGTTTGAAGTTAAATAATCCCTGTATATATTTTTTAAATATTACGATTAGTTTTTATGAGCTCTTCAAAAGTTATTTCAAATTTTAAATCAATATTTAAAAAGTTATAATATTATTGTTAATATAATCAAAACCTTATAAATATAACCAAAATAAAAATATTGTTAGGACGCAGCCTTAACCTTGATTGGCCAAACGTAAAAACTCGTTTTAAGCCCACTTTATTTTACTTTCAAGAATTAAAAAAAAATTGTATAGGCTTTCAAATTCAAAATATACTTTTAACCTACAATCTTTTTCTTTTTAAACAAAAATATATTATATATAATTCAAAATATTATTAATTAAAATTAATATAATAGTTGGCAACAAACTTGACATTTTAAGTCGTATATACTTTTTTATTATTAACAAATTAATATAAACAAAACAAAACAAAAATTCAATTCGGTTGGAGTCTCCGACTAGTCGAGTTTTTAATTTTTTTATACCTTATGTGTCATTTTCATTTAATTTAAATTTAATGTTTTCAATTTTATCGCTGTTACAATTTTATAAGGTCAAATATTAATTGGTTATATAAATAAAAATAATTACATACTCTCATTAAACACCGTTTAAAAAAATTATTAAATAATTATAACATTGATAAATAAATCCGTATTGACTAGCTATTTCATTACTTTAATACCTAAATAACTATTTAAAATAAAATTGTAATAAATTGGTATAGGCTTTAAATAAATCTTATTATTTTTGTAGAATTCATTCCAGATGCTCTGAATTCTGAATGTTCCAAATGTAGTGAAATCCAAAAGAAGCAAGCCGGTAAAGTTTTCACGAATTTGTTGCTCCACCACAGGGATTATTGGAATCAACTCATTGACAAATACGATCCAAATGGTATTTACAAAACAAAATATGAAGTCGATAATGAAGATTACGATTATTCTCAATTGGACGACGCATAAACTATTATAGCAATTTTATAAATAATATTGTAATGTTTAGGTAAATAAAAAGTACTACATCGACTAAAGTATTGATTGGAAAATACATATATTTTTGGTAATAATAAATAAACATTTTGTACCTATTAACATGTACTTTTTGAATAATCCACCAATACTTATTATTAATTATTTTTTCTTTCCAAACTCTCATTTTTTTAAAAATTCAGTCTGTCTTGAAGTTTTATTAAAAATTTGTTGGTTTTACCTAAATTTCAGACCGCAAACCCGTCAATAATTAAATGGTGTTAAGCAACAGGAAAACAACCCCCAAAATTAAAAAATGAGATAAATTTATTAAGCAACAGGAAAACAACCCCCAAAATTAAAAAGAGATAAATTTATTACTTAATATTCTGAATTTTGTTTTTATTTATTTGTTTTATACGTCTATTGATCATTCAAATTTGAAATACAATTAAACGCATTAGATATGTCCTAAATTTCCAACTTTCTATTATTTTTTGGTTTATTTCTTAATTAGTTTAAAAGAGATTTAGAAAGGGCGATGCGCTTTGGAACGTAATGTCGGTTGCATACCTACATAGATTATTAAATATTTATTACTATTCTTCTCTTCATTGTATAGTTAACCTATATTTATATATATATATTTATATATATATATTGTATATATATATTTATATATATATATATTGTCTATGAAACCTGTTAAGCCAGTCTTAAAATTGAAACAATTTTTATTATTTAATTTATCAAGAAACTAACCGTTATACTATTTACTCATTGTTATTTTAGTCAGGTATTAACTATTTTATAAATCATGTTCATGTTTACAAAAAACAAAATGTTACTTTCTTAGAGAAAAGTTGTTTTTTAGTATAAATAGGGTTGACACAACTGGTTTAACCAAAATTTTAGATTGATGTCTTTGTTACTCAGTTCTCTATAAACACCCTGTATATATACTAATAAATACCCACGCACTAATAATTTTTAAGTATTCTAAAATTCCAATTTCAGAAAAAATCTTAAGTATTAATTAAATTAAAAAACTTGATGATCTTTTGATACAATTTATTTTCCAAAAGAAATTAGTATTTTAAAATACTACGTATGTGCACAGGACATAAAAAAATATTCATAAAATTCAAATAAAAATTCAAGGATTAAATTAATTTTACATTTAATAACAATTTAAAGTGCACGATACCTCCAAATAAATAATAACATGACCAGAAGAAAAGGTTGTATATTTTTATTAAAGCTTATAAGCTTTTAGAATTTACATACAATAACACATTGATTATATTATTTATATAGTACCTACCTACACCACCTTTTAGTCCTTTATAGTGCAGGGGCGGATCCAGAAGCTCCCTAAAAGGGCACAAGTAATAACTATAGTAATAATTACAGCTATTAAATATATTTCGTTTTGATATTTAAAATTTCTATATATAGAATATACGAGTAGTTTTTTAAAAATAATTTAATATACATAGCCATAGGGCTTGGTGTAACATATCTTTGTTTCATGGATGCTGTTATGTTCTTATAAGACGCAATAAATTTAATAAAAATTGAATTACTCATTCTGTTCACGTTAATTCGTGTTAAATTAAATATAATCACAAGGAAATATTTAGTATATACATAAATGTTATCTTGGTAATCTTACAAAATGCAACTGGAATACCTAATTTGTTTGGTCATATTTTTTTTTAAATTAGCTTTGATTACATACGTAATGACATATCTAAAATTTATGTTAGATATAAAACATAATTTTTGAAACTTTATACCTACTAAAATACGCTGTTAATGGTTTTATAATAAACGAACTGACAACAAAATTGGTTATATTCTTGTTTCTAGAAAAACTGCACATGTTTTTCACCTTAAAACACAAAGATGACAATAAATAAAAGAATGAAACTGTTTATTACCAAAAAAAAATAGATAAAAGAAAAAAGCTAAAAATGCGTTATAATTAATACCGTAATTTAATTAAGGTACGAGCGAGCTTGCGAGCAAGTGCTTATATTAATGTGTGTCTAGAAAAGTTTATAAACGAGGTGCATACTATACTTTTTCTACGACAAATACTTATTATTATCTTAAAATGATTTAAATCAAAAATTTGTATAGATCGCCATCTATGAAACAATAGTGGAATCTGCGTGTCACCGTCAAATGTCACATTTTTATATTTAACACAGATTATAAAGGTTATAAATCGAAATGTATTTCTTGAAAATTGACAGTTTTTCACAGTGAAAGTAAAGAAAATGCTTTATGAGCACTTTACAGTGGAGTCCGTGCCCGAATTTAAGTTATAGTTTACTGCCGGCGAAATTAAACGGTCAGTACAATGTTCATATAATTTTTTTAAATATTGGCGTTGAGAAACTATTTAATACTTTTGTATTTTTGTATCGAGATAATAAAATAATTTTCACATTTAGTATTATTTTACAAGAAAGGCACTTTATTTTAACGATTGTATGACATTTGACAACTGTCAACTAACTTAAAACTACTACGTGACTAAAAACCTATTGCTAACTTCAGCCCGTGACTAAAACGCCATAAATCCACAACTTGTCAATGTGTATTTAAAACGTCACTTACTGTCATGGAAACATGTACGATAATGTACATTAAAAAATGTCAAAAAATGTAATTATGATGATGATAAATAAATAAATAAACAATGAAGAAATTTCATTTTGTGTTTAAAAATATTTTTAGGATTTAAAACTTTCTTTGTCCAGTTTTATAGTACTGAACATTTTAATATTTTATATAATAATTTTTAAGGTATCTAATACACGTCACTGGTTATTTTAAACGAGAATATTTTAGAAAATACACTTAAAAATATTGGTTAATTTACTTAATGTTTACCTATACAATTAGGCATAAAACTTTCTATATTTTTATTGTAAACTTGGGATAGAAACTTTTAACCTTAGAGTAACAAAACTTACTCTAAGCTTTTAACATTGTAGGGTTCGTCGTGTCTCCACAGTTGGAGTCTCTTAGTTTTATGCATTAAATAAATACCTATAAACCATAAATGTACAGGGTGTCCAAAAATAACGTTAATATATTTTGGGGGTATAATTAAATGAAAAAGGTAATCTAACCAGATGTCCATAAATTCCTCCTGGGAGCGCTATAGGCATTTTAAACTGATTCGAGAAAAATCATGTTTTTATTTATCCTCGTACTTTCAGACTCCCTGTGTAATAGATTGGTCATATTTTTTTAAGTAACTATAAACTTATTGACATGCCTAAATGGACTGAATATTTAATAGTAGAACAAAGACAAGAAAATTAATTAAAAATGAACTCTTGGCATGGATAGACTTTAAAGTGCATAAATACATGCGTCATAAGCCTTATTAAATATATTTTTTAATTGGTCACGTTTTTAAATCTTCATGTAATACCTTTTAAGAAATTTTAAACAGGTCCATTATATTTAACATACATGCCCATTATAGCGCCTGTTTTTCAGTTAAAATTAAAATTAAAGCTAAAAATAACATTCCAGGAAATATAATTGTATTTCAAAAAAAACTTCTTCAAACACTTTATTAGGGTAATTCGGTAATTAGGCGCTGATTCCAAAAATGAACATCATTTTGCTGAAATAGCCTTTGTTTTCGAGATATTGTAAAAAAATGGTTTTGATATGCAAACATTTAAATTCGTATATTTTTTTAATTAAATAACTACTTTAACCAATTATTGGTCATGTACCTATAAGTCTTAATTTTATTAAAAAAGGTAGGTATACCCCATTCATAAAGAAAATCCCTTAAAAATATTTTTTGGCAAACATTCGAATGGAAACACATAAAATTTATATATGTCGTTGTTATAAAGATTTTAGTTTTTTTCTTATAAATATTTAAAAAAATAGTTTGTTTGTTTAAATTTTATTTACGTTTACCTACTTAAAAACAAGAATATTTGTATTATATTAGTTTTATAAAAACATGCAAAAAAGTATAGTAATTGGACACATGGACCATAGTTATTGGACATACAATTTTTATATAAACATAACAACTTTACATCAAATAACATAAATTTTTAAATAATTTTTATTTCGTTTTTGTAAATATCATATAATTCTCGGATTCCTCATCCCTTTTCTGGATTCTGAAAGTAACTACTAATTCCTTGTTCTGACTTTTGAAATATTTTGTTGCAAATATCATTATGTGTGGTATCTCTAGTTTTTTATGTTCTCTGTCATGCACTGTATTTAAATTACTGTTATTCTGCAAGATGTCCTGTGACGAAAAATCACTATATTACTTACTCTCGAAAAATGAATTAGTCAAAAATGTCATAGAAAAGCAGCCACTAATAATTCTCGTCAACAGCAATTTGTATCCAGGATATTTAGCAGTCAATTCCTATGAAATACTATTTGCCGTTAAATCTAGTTAACTACACTACTACAGCTAAATCAAAAGGTCAAGAAACGTCAAGAAACTATTTATTACTTTTGTATTGAGAAAATAAAATAATTTTCACGTTTAGTTTTATTTTATAAGAAAGGCAATTTATTTTAACGATTGCATGACATTTGACAACTGTCAACTAACTTAAAACTAACTTCAGCCCGTGACTAAAGCGCAATAAAATTATTTTTTATAGCACAATATTCTATACTATAAAGAATTGATAACACTGGTTTACAGTCAAAATGTACCTTGAGTGCGACTATTTTTTTCTGATGTATTTTGGCCTGCTAAACTCGAAAATGACAATAAAAATTTTTTTATGGCAAGATTTTCCAAATAAAAAATTGTCTTTGATTTTCCGATGCCGGCTTTACTATTTGGGATATATCTCGAGTTTGAAATGGCCAATTTGATTACAACAGATGTCAAATTAAACCTAATTAACATAATAACAAATGTAATTGTATAAATGCCCAATTAGTCAATAAGTTTAGGTGCAATGGGGCCAAATATCGAGAAAAAGTCAATTTTTTGGACAAAATTAGAATTAAGTATTTACTATTTTACCAAAAAGAAGCAAAAATCATTAAAA